GGGGGGGGGGGGTGGGGGTTGGGATGTGCTTAAATATAGCCTACATATGGTCTATGTATGCTAATAAAAATGGGTGCATTGCCGAAAACATGTTACCACATATTTTATCTTGCCATGCACCGTAACATCTGTAAATAAGGTAGCAATCAACTTTGGATCAAAAATATTCCCACCCGTTTAAGCCTATGTCTAGGCCAGGCCAAGGCGGGCCTTAATACTTTATGAAAAACGTGTGCAGGCCGAAAGAAAATGGGATCGGGGGGGGGGGGGTGGAAGCTATGAGGAAAAAAAAATAATTATTTATTTCGCGGGCCGCAAAGTGAGTGTTGGTGGGCTGTTTGTTGTACAGGCCTGGTCATGTGCGCCCGCAGAAAAATTTCTAGGGGGGGGGGGGCAAAAAGTCGATTAACTTTCCAAGGGGGAGGGGCAAAATTTTTTTAGCAATGTTTTAATGTAGTTTTAATTTAGTGTAGCGTATTTGTATGGTGAACGAACGGACATGACATCAGCTTAGTTACTTTCTCTTTATTTTCTCTTTACTTTAATAAATTTTTGGTCTATTTTTGTCTAAATTTTTTTATCCAATCAATCCAGGGGAGGGGGGGCAAGTGCCCCACCTTGCCCCTATCTGCGGGCGCCCCTGGGCCTGGTCTAGGCTATGTGGTTCCGAGTATTCTTTCATTTCAAGGACTACTTTGGCTCTGCGACGCTGAATGACACAAGTCAATGCAATAAAGGGGCATTTATTTTTAAAGGCGATGCAATGATCGAAAGAATTGTAAAATTACATGACTTTATAAATAAATAAACGTTTTTAAATTCAAAAATATTTTTTCTTTGAGTTTAATTTCAATACTACTTTAGTTACTACAGGCAAAATGGGTCCATGGACTAAAACAGGTTAAGAACCCCAGTGGCGTAACTTGAATAAATGTTACACGGATGAGCACCTGAAAGACACACCCGAATCATATTTAATTTAGTATTAAGCCTACATATTGTTATTTAATATATTTATAAACCACCGAAGTGTCCTCAGCCCCGGGCGGTCGCCCCTTGCCCTTCGCCCTCCTTTAGTTATGCCACTGTGTATAGGAATTTTGGAAATGAATATTTCAGTAAGTATTTCATCACAGCAATAAAATTTGTGATACTTTTATTTATTTGGAAGTTAGGTTTGAAATAATGAAACACTGAAATTCTTTATGTAAAGAAAGGGGGATATGAACTGAACAATTCATTTATTAAAATTGCGATAGTTTTAGAATCCAACCAATCAAATATTATAAAGGTAAAGGGAAAAAGTAAAAGGTAGATGAGGAAGTAAAATTATGCGTACTCTGCTAGGATTATGCATCTCAAACACTTTAAAACTTCCTGGATCAATAAAGCTTTACAGTCCTGATAATGTTCGTTTTTTAATTTGATATTTTATTTTTTCCATTTGGATTGATCGTTGTAAAAATGTCATCATATCACTATGCAGTAAGGCGCTTTCTGTCAGGTAATATTAATGGTCAAACTACTTGACTTATTAAAGTTGATTACACTTACTTGTCTTAGTTTAGATTGTTAATTTTACTGTCACACTGTGTTTTACATAGCGGCAGTCCCGAGCCTAAGCAGTAGTAAGCAGCCAAAGCCACTAAACCCAGTTTAATGTCTTTAGTACTTAGTAAAAGTAAAGTTAATTAAACTTTAAATGTATCCCAGCCTAGAGCCCTTAGGCCTTAGACTCTAAGTCTAAGTCTAAACCTAACCTGAACCCTAAAGATAAATGAAAATGTATCCCTCAAACCTATAACCTGAAACCTAAATTTCAATGTATCCCACTAATGGCACCAATTCTCTGCATTAGCTGAAAATTAACTTTCATCACATCAGTCATTATCTTTAATTTTAATGATGCAGTGTCATAGTTTTAGTATACTTATTTTATAGACATCATTCTCATCACTGATCTCTCAGACACTCACATTTAGTTAACTTTAAAAAAAAATTGCACAAGAAGTATTGCGAGCCTGTACTAAGTAATTTAACTTTATCTAAGTATGCAGTCTTTAACTTTTTGTCCTTACCGGTACTTCTAGATTTAATGTTATACTCTTGTCCTTGTTAAAACTGAAAACTATTAATTTAAAAATCATTTAATACCTTGGGAGGAAGATATAGGGTAAGTTTCACACTTTTGTGGCAAAGTACTTGTAAAGAGCATTTCTTAGTATTTATTGGAATGATGGTGGTGGTGATGTAATGTTAAACCATGATTTATTTTTAAAGTTAACCACTTTTTTTCCCCCCCATATACTGAAATACAAATATATTTATTAATTATTGTAAGTTTTATCCTATTATTGTGAATCTTAATAGGCATTAAAAAAAAGGGTAGCTAATTTAAAATCAATTTAAAATGCCAGCGGACGTCAGCAACCCGGCACGGATTGATTTCTTAACAAAAAAACGATAAATAAAAAAGACATTGAAATAACGCAAATCCTGTCCCAAGCAAGCGCATTTTGCAATGGTTTCTGTGAGACAATGTCATGTTTTATACCACGAGAATAGCACATGCCGACATGCCATGCGATTCTGGAAACAAATTCTATCATGAACAGGATAAGCGCAGACCTATGACTTTGTTATACAGTTTGCTACCGTGGTGTAAGTTTCTAAAATCATGGTGTTTTCAAAAGACTTGGTGTGAAACTGAGGGTTGGGAATGAATCGTGGATATTGTGTGTAATTTTTGCCAATGCATTTGTGAAAGCATGATGGTTGAAATACGACCATGCACATTAATAGCCATTTGATATACTGGTATTTTATTTGGTTGTTCATAAATGTAAAACTTAAATATCCAACTACATGAAGAATGTTGAAATACAATAAAATATTACTTAGTATTTAAAATGGTTCCCTTATACATGTTACGTTAACTATACACACGCTTTCAGTTTGTTTTCTAATGTCTTATTACCGGTGTTTTCAAAGTAAAAAAGGCAAGCACAACTTGTTAAAACACTTAATAATCTAAATATAACATATATTTAAAATGTTAAAATTGTTACAAAATATTTAAAAACTAATCATGAAACTACTATTGCAAATAATAATAAATATATTTAAATATAAATTATTTTTAATTAAAATGGTAAAAAATGTATTAAAGCTCATTCCCCTACTGTTGACTGGGAATTGATCACAAAACATAATATCACCAAGCGTCTACTCTACCACAAGGCCACACAAGATTTTATCTAACAGGCATATCTTACAACCAGGCCAATGGCACATTTTTGCAGCGATGTTTGCAGGCCAAAGTCCATGGTTTTGCTAGGTACACCACCATGGTGTATGCAGGCCTAGGTCCATGGTTTTGAAAGGTACACCGCTGCGGTGCATGCAACTACTTTATTAAATAAAATATGGACACAACAACCAAAAATTAAATTGCATAAAATTGTCATATGTGCCCCGTCAGCACCCACTTCGTGGCCTGCGAGGTAACGAAAAACTATTCATTCTTATTATTTTCTTAATAGCTTTCCCCCTGTTCTATTTTTTTTTGGCCCGCACAAGTTTTTCATAAGAATTACGTCCAGCCTCACATTTTGAGATGTTGTAGATTGAGACACATGACACTGGTGGCACTCATGGCTTAGGACTTAGGAACATGTTATGTTGTCTGTTCATTTTAATAGAAATTTTGTGGAATTTTATTGTGTTTACAGCTATTTTCATTGTCCTGGTTAGTGTCACATGACGGACAAACATTAAAACTAAAAGACTGTTATTTATAAAGTATAGTGAAATAAATATAATTCTGTAAAAGAATTGACATTTTTGCTCTAATTTTAATTGCTTGCATTCAAACACATTATTTTAATTACAAAGTCATGTTATGTCAGTTACATTTTTTACGGTGACCAGATTCAACTATAGACTATCTTAGACTATAGACCAGGCCTGCATAACTCAAAATGTATGGCGGGCCGTAATACTTTATGAAAACCTTGTGCGGGCCATAATACGTTATGAAAAACTTGTGCAGGCCGAAAGATAATAGAACGGGGTGGGGGGGGGGGCTATTAAGAAAATAAAAATAATATAGAATGTTTCGTTACTTCGCGGGCCGCCAAGGGGGTGCTTGCGGGTCACATGCGGCCCGCATGTTGTGCAGGCCTGCTATAGACTATAGCTTAACTAATTATAAGACTGAGCCCTAATGACACACTGTACTGTCTATATAAATCTACTAAATATTGACATATTTTAGTATTTATTTGAATTTAAGTTACTATTATTATTATTATTAAAAACTTTAAAAACAAACAAAACATTACTGTTTTAGTTTTAGAAGTTATAGTTAAAGGTAACCTATTCTTTTTAATATGTCCAATTACTTATGCCTGATTATATACTTTAGTTTATAGAGTTTAGGCCTTATACATTTTGATCTAAATGGTAACTTGAAATCAGTTGGAAATCAAGAGTTGAAGTTTGAAGAACAGATGGACTGCAAAACATACTGCCTTTGATTCTTTGATAGTGGCAGACCTCTAGTAGTATATTATACTTAGGCCTGTAGGCCTATAATTTATTAATTTACTTTTAATTTTTTAAAGTAAGTGTAGTCCTAAAATATAATTAGCATATGCTTAAGTAAAAAAAAATCTAGTCAATAGAAGTAAAGTAGGACCATATAGTAGTAATCAACCTAATGTTTCTACTAAATAATTAGGCCTAATAGTAAGCCCATGTATTATTTTACCTTGTCTAGGGCAACTATTTAGGTAAATGATTTAGATCTGGGCCTATGACATGTCATGAAATTTTCACATACACCTGTGTCTTGGGTATATGGAAAAATTTCAAAACTACATACAATCATAGGCTATGATTGTCCTGTTTGTAAATTTGCAGACGTCATATTATTTGATTATTGTTCCAAGTTAGAGTCAAACTCTAGAAATTTAGAGTCTAGGACTCATTATAATAATTCTTTACAGTACTAATTGTGGAGTAGTAAAATTTATAAGTGCTATTTAAATACATTAAAAAAAATAAATTCATTGCAGAGGTAAATAAGTTCATCAATGGCACATTAAGATCCGAAAGTTTGAGTAAACCAGCTCAGAAAGAGAGAGATAAAATTATTGACCTTCTGCTAAGGTTGTATGCTGATTATGACAGCTTGTCACCCAGTGGAGATGAAGGAAGTGCCTCTAGTACTAGAGATACAGTAGCAAATACACCTGCTGCAGGTGAGTGCAATTTAAATTTAATCTGTAACCTTTGTTTATTCTGTGCCTGTAAATTTTTTTCCTAATCTATGACTATGCATTGAATAAAGCAAGGTAATTTATACCCGCAAAAATTACTTACAGCCCTAAGTAATTGTTAATAGAATGTAATTAATCTTTCAAGGTGATTTAAAATGTGACAAATATATTAAAACAAATTTGGCGCTAGTAATAACTTTGATTGCTAAGGCTAAGTGCTTATTGGCTGAATTATTGAACTTTTCAGCTTTGTGTCCGCAAAATAAATGTAGAGTTTTGAAATATTTTGAAAGCTCAAGTTGTTCCTATAAACTTCTGAAGAAAAAAATATACGTTTTGAAAATATAAAAATCAAATAATATCTAAACATGAAAAATGTTGTCATTAAAATATTTTCATAAGTCACAAGTATGTTATTATAATTATTTAAATTGTCCCAAGTAGACACACAATATTTTCACATGTGAACTGTTATTTTGGTATATTTGTATTTGATTCAATAGTTGAAAAATAATAATTTGTGTACCCATAAAACTTCCCCAAGATCTTTAGGGAAGGTAAAGCTTGTATTTTGATTAAAAAAAAAAAAGCCTGATTTCGGAAATATTTACATTTTTTTAAAAACAATGCTAGAACTTTAGTAGAACAATTATACATTAATTAGTATTAATAGCACATACTTAGATCAGTATTTGTATTTTTACTTATAATTCATTCATGTTATCCTCATTTGCAGCAACAGACATTTGAGGAAATGGTCAAGGAGCATCACTCCATATTTCTTATTTGCATTACAGTAGATACTTGTTCTTAAGCCCATTTCTTTTTAGCACCCTCTCCCCATCCCTCAGTTTTTGCTCAGAAAAGCCTGAAAAGTATGTAAGCCATTCATAAGCTAACCTCATAAAATAAAATGCCACTACGGTACTATAGAATACCTAGGATGAGATTATACTGTTGCTTTAAGCAACTGATTTATGTTATGTGGAATAAAATTGCTGAAGTGGGTGAATTAATTTTTTTGTTGAAATCAAAATCATTAAAACATCATATTATCACTTTTAAAGAAGAAAATCAATCAAATAAAAAATTAATATAAGTGTAGATATTTATTAATTTTTAAAGCTTCTGATAAAGTGGTATACAAATCTTATACACCTTACATTAGACCAGGACCTATGTCAGGGGTTGGGAACCTATGGAGCCAGATGTGGCTCTATTGATGGCTGCATCTGGCTCGCAGACAAATGTTCTATTTTAAAAAAAAGTCACATTAATGTTAAGAAATACTCATTGATTAGCAGCAGCATAAGAATGTTATTAAAAAGAATTCAGAGACATAATTATTGCATGTTTAGTGTTGAAATTTCAGAAAATGCACACATTTACTTGAATTTTTAGTTTTAAACATAATGTATGGCTCTCACAGAATGAATTTTCAAAATATGTGGTGTCCATGGCTCTCTTGGACAAAAAAGTTTCCCGACCAATGTTCCCTTTAAGCTACGTGGCTGCGCGGCTGCGCAGCTATCTCACAGATGCCGCGCAGCAGTTTTTAGTATCCACGCAGCCAATTTCTATGTAATTGTATGTTTGTGGGCTGTAAAATTTTGCACACAAAAAATAATAGATGCTGTTAAACTTTGCACACAAACTTATGATTTAGCACACGAACCAACAAACCTTAGAGGGAACATTGTTTCCGACCCCTGAGGTAGGTGATCTATAACAGCAATTTAATTATTTCATGTACCGGGATATAATTATAAAAATCTCATATGAACCGCTCATAAGTCGACCATGCAAATATTTTGTTAAAAAGTTGGCTCTAGAACAGGTACATACAGTAACTGCATTTTGGAATTTAGGAATTAAAATTGCAATAAAAATTGAAGATAGTTTTGTGGATAATTACAAACATTGTAAGATATTATCGTTAATGCTTTAGTAAAGAAAATAAATTGAGTACTGACTGAACAGCTTGCTTTTCACATGCATTTGATAAAATAAATAATTCAAGCATTTGATACATTTCTATTACATTTTAATTTTTTAACAGATGAGTCTCGAAACACAACGGAAAGCAATCAAGCAAGTGAAGAAGATAACTATTCTGACAGTGAGTCAAATTTTTTTAAAAACATATTTAAGTTGAAAACATCAAATTCAGCGTTTTGAGAAAAAAAGATTTTCAAAATGACACATAAATTAGGCATAATAGTAAAAATCATCCTAAAAATCGTATAGCTAATTTTTTGCTGAAAAAAAAATAATTTTAAATCAAAACACTAGACATGGCAGGGGAAGATATGACTATCTATTATATACTTTTTACTATTAAATAAGAAATATATTTTCTTGTTCATCATTCATGAAATTAAAATAAGTGTCACAGATAAAAAAACAACACCACCAAAACGATTTGGAAATTGGGGCCTAATTTTTTTAATTTCCTTCTCACCCCTTAAAGTCATGGAAGTATGTATATAATGTGTAATGATATGTTGTTTTGTAACTTTCAGAATCAGAATACATTAATTAATAAATTATACATAAACTGTAGTCAAAATTTCAACTAACATATCCTGAATCATTTTTCTCAGACATCCCTGACACAACAATCAAGGCTCTAAACAACCCAGTTAAGATTGGATATTTGGAGAAAAAAGCAAGTAAGTCAAATCATTATTTGTATTTTCAGCGGATCCTTAAAGATCTTATAGTGCTCCCTATTTATAGCAATGGGGAAAAAGTCTGGCATTTTGGTCATCTCCCTTTTGATGAGAATATAATACATTCAAAGACAATTTGTTTTTTCATTGTAAACAATTAATGATGCTTTTAATGATATTAATAATTTATTTTTCATTTACAAAAGGACTCGTGACTGAGAAGCAGAGCTGAAATTAAAAAGAATTTAAATAAAATATGACCACAGATCATGCACAGGGAAAGACCTCTGCAAACTATTTGATACTTGAATGGAAAAACGTTTACTTTAAAATCTAGTTTGTGCACAATAGTATATTTTAAAGATATTTTTCACAATTGGAAAGACTTATTCATAACCAATTAATAAATCTTAAATAGCTATAAAATTTGTCTCACAACTGAAACTTTGTTTTGACAGATCTGCTGGGGGTCGGAGCTTTAGTCACCTGGAAGAAATGTTACTGTGTCCTGCACAAAAATATTTTGTACTCATTCAAAAAGCCAGATGCCAAAAAACAGGATAGTGCAATTTTTATAACAGGTATGGCTTCAGCTAAATTCAATAACTTGAAGCAGATAACATAACATTGTTATATTTTTTTAGTAGGAGACACTGTGATAGATTGTGAGAAATTCTCAAATATGAGCACTGAAAAAGGCCATAGATTAATACAGATTTCATCACTGACTTTTAAAAAATGAGATAATTCTTTAAATTCATGCCAATGTATAAAACTTCAATTTAAAATTCAAATATTTTATTTCAATAGAAAATATATTTATTGCCTTTAAAGGTCTTGATTCTTGCAATTTCTTAAAATATAAGCAGTTGTACCGGTATCCATTTTAGAGGTGCATATCTTTGTCTTCCTGTATATTTCTTTGCTTCCTGTAGGTTATGAGTTTAGAGAAGCACCACAGCTCTTAAAGGATGCATCAAAGAAAGATGGCTGCTTTGAGCTTGTTTGTCCTGGCAAGAAATCCTATCAGGTTTGCTTGTTTGGATAGACTTGTTTGTTTTATTGTAAATTTGAATTCTGCATTGTAAATCCAATAATAATACAATTTCACATCTAAATGCAAAAAGTTAATTTAAATCTTTGACTCCCTGGACCCAACTGTTACAGCTTGCTGATTATCCCTTTCTGTCCCTTAAGTCAACTGTACTGGCTGATTTTTTAATAATAATTTTATAAAAAGCAGAAGGGGTGCAAAGATTTGGTTTCACCTTGCCATGTCTGGTGAGCGCCATTTTTATTTTTTTATTCAGTAAGCTGTTTTATGTTTACAGCCCTTTTTCGTTTAATTTGATTGAATTCTTTAGGGCCTATTAGCTGATTCCTTACTAAGATTTAGCCCAGGAACATGCCTTCATCATAAACTTACTGCTAGTAAGGCTCTAGAATCATTTGAAATAATGCATTATGATAAAATAAATTTGATCTACATCTCAGGCTTCTAAGTAAGAAACACGACAATCACAGGTTGAAAATTGGTGTAAATGTATTATTATGAGCCTCCAGAAAGGGGGCATGCACTGTACTACAAGTGGAACACATTTACAGCAAGTGTAAAAGGATTATTCATACAACTTTGCTAAAACTACTGAACTTCAACTGTTTACTGATATTAGTTCTAGTAGTAATAGTACATAGTACTGTTGTCATCCTGAAACTTTATAACAGTATGTGGATGACGAGCCTCTGTTACCTGAACAGTTGTTAGAAGTGGACGGAACAGGAGGTAATTTTTGATTCAACCAAGTCAAAAAGTTAATCCAAATCTCCATCACACTACACTAACTCAAAGATAGGTTGTCTTATCCTCATGACAGATGATATCTCATAGTTAATATTATTATCTGTGTGCCAAGAAACACTTCGTGACTAAAGAAATCACTACTCAGTGTTTCAAAATTTCAAGTGTGTAGCCAGTCAGATAACTTTAGGATGACATCCATAATAGACTAATACTCTGTCATAGTACATCAAGATGATGAATCGAAAGTAACTTCAGTCAATACTGAAGATACTTGGTTGTCAACCAGCAAGCCAGAAGAAAATAGAGCCCTTATTGAACCGGTTCTGGGGATTATCCAACTATGACTATTTAAGTTTATTGACCATTGATGGCATTGCAAATTAGATTCAAAGTCAGGTGGAGATATTGGAAGCACAATGGTACCAAACCAATGAAACATTCAGTTTATGTGACAAGGTCTACATGGAGGTCAACTATAATCACATTGTAGCTGTAGTCAAAAAGAACATCTTTAGATATTAGTTTCTTTGATTCAACTACAGCTAATTATCCTGTCATTGATCCTGATTCTTTGCTAACAATGCTAGGAGTGATTTTCGAAAAGTGATAAATTATAAACTTGGGGTGTTTTACAGATTTTAAAATATTACTTTTACAAATTATCTTCAAATAATTTTTGTTAAAAATTTGGTTTAAAATTCTAAAAAAAACATTTACAAAAAATACATTCATTTCCCTTTAAAATGATGTACAACACTGCAGGTCTGGCTTTTACAAAGACTCTGTTTTGCTAAAATGTGTATAATTTTTTTTAAAAATTGAAACTTGAAAAAAATTGGAAGATTTATATTTTATTGAAATATATTTTGTCAATTGGTTCACAAATCTTTTAAATAACCAATAGTAATTTGACATTGGTGAATTGTTTTTTTAATATTTTTTTTTTGTTTGTTCTGTTGATAACAATTTTTTTTTTAATAGTCCAAATTTATATCAATTTTTTCAAAGTCATTTTATAGAAAATTGTATTCAATTTACTATACAATGATATTCAACTGGGGGTCTATCTCTTATGTTAATCTCAGGATTTAGATTTAAGTTAACAGTGGTCTTGTTTTTGTTCTGTTCTAAAATTGGTTGGTAAAACCTTGGAAATACTCCCGGGAGTCAAAGAGTTAATATTATTCATTCATTTAAAAAAAACGGGGTTTTCACTATAATATAATTCACACTTTAAGGCTAAAGAATATTATCAACAATAATGTTTATCATTATTTATGCAACTTAATAATAAGTCCTTACCAATTTAACACTAACAGTAATGATGTTTCTGTAGATTTCCTGTGAAAATATAAAAATATAAATTTTTGAATTCTCTTTCAGTTTTTGGCATCCTCTAAAGAAGACTTGCAAGCTTGGAAGGATGCGATTCTAGCAACAAATAATCACACAGCTGACAGCACTGATGGTACAGATGAAAATCATATCGATGGTGAGTTATTGTAAACGAACTGCTTTAAGTTTAAGTGGAGCTATCAAACCTTATTCTGACTTTTTAATTTTCACTAGTTTGTTAATATATTATGGTTTGTGCTCTATGAGCTAATTCAGGGGTCGGCGACCTATTTTGAGTGCAGAGCTACTTACTAAATTATATCTACTAAGAAAAGATCTAGGGAGCCATAGCGGGGGCAAGTTTAATAATGAAAAGAGATACATTTATTCATTCAAAGAGCAGCAAAAAGCTGCTGACAGCTTAAGACTTAACAAACTGATTGGTATTGTTTATTTTTCCTTGCTACTTTTTTGGAAGAGATGATACCTTTTTTTATGGAATATTATTAATATTTGTTCATTGTACAGTGCAATGTAAGCAACCTGCTGTAATGGGAATTTGTAAATAATGCCGTCATGGTGTGGCTCCTGAAATTTCCTATATTCATTCGAACATGAATTGTGTTAACAAATGACATGAAAAAAAAAGTGTAAAAAAAATAAATATGTTCATACAACACAATAGAAAATGTAATGAAGCTAGTCTACACCGCATAGCTCATTAACCACAAGAGATTAAACAAAATTGTTTGTTTTTTTGTTTTTTTAAAAGAAGAAATCACTCTCTATTTAAAAATCCCAACTTTTTTTTACATGGAATATTGCAAAATACCCCATTAAAGCAACCTAGCAATTAATGCAATCTGGTTTTATGGGCCCCAATTATGGCATTATAGCAGGGTTTCACTGTGTTATATTTTGCAGCAAGATAGCTCAGTACCTCCGACTTAAATGGGCATTTAGTCATTATGATAATATCTTCAATGAGCCTGTTTATCCCACAGTTGTGGGCAGGTAGAATGGGATTGTGGGCAGGTAGAATGGGATTGTGGGCAGGTAGAATGGGATTGTGGGCAGGTAGAATGGGATTGTGGACATTAAGTTTACTGGGATTTAAAGCTGACAGTCTACATGATTTTCTACTATGTCTTATTGGCTGTAGCGCACAGCAACCCACGTTTTAAGAATCAGCAATGTTCATAAGTGAGTTACAACAATAAAAATGACTTTCGAGTTGATGGTTTTTTTTTAGTTCTTTTTCCTGATAACTGAAAACAATTTTTTTTTCTCCAGAAATCTAACGATCAAAAAATAAAATAAATGTTTTATTTTCCCCTCAAGATATTTATGAGGAATTCACTGAGCCTGTAGCCAACAAAAAACCTGCCATTGCTACGGAGGATCAGGATGAAATCTATGATGATGCTGCCACAGATGCACCTAGCAAAGTTACGGCTAATCTATCTCCCGTTACCCCCAAGGAGAGATTACCCCCGGTGCCTCCTGAAGCTGAAGACGATGACCTGATTTATGAGGCAGTTAGTGAAATGCAAGCTCCGCCCCCGGTCAGCTCCATGAGTCCATCTATAAAAAAACCAGTGCCGTCCTCCCCAACACCTCCTCCTCCCAGATCTCAAGATTTACCCCCTGTACCCAGCACCCCAAGATCTGGCTCCATTGCTCCGCCCTTGCCCAGCCCTCCCGCTGATGCTGTTATCCCTCCCCCCTTACCTAGTAGGAACGCTCCCCTTCCCCCTCCTCCCAAAGAACCTTTACCAGAAATCCCAAAAGCTAAAGGCAAAACCTCCCCAGCCCTGGCCAAGATGACGCACCCACCCTCAGAGGATTTTGAGAACATGTTTTACAGTCGCTGGAAATGTGATGGGTCATCTACCCATGAGCTCAGCTTTAACAGAGGAGAGATAATCCATGTCATTAGCCGGGACTTTGAAGAGGACAACTGGTGGGTTGGTGAGCTTGGTGGTAAAATTGGTCTGGTGCCTAAAACCTTTCTCACTCCTGCTTATGAGCTTGTTCACTAAGTTGGAAGGGGTTTCATTTATGAACTGTGTTTTTTAAATTGATCACTAGTTGATACAGTGGACAGAACTCTTTCTAAATCAGCACTCACCTGCCAAACTTCACTGGGAGAGTTGCTCTTTCAAAATCACTTACTTTTAAATATTACCATTGTTAATTCCAAAACTTTTATGTATAATTTAAGACAGCCAGTATTTTAAAAAAAACGCAGATCAAATGTTATATATATATATTTTTTTTTACAAAAGTTTTTTTTAAAGGAAGTATTTTTCACTGTGCACATATTGAGATTGGTATCCATGTCAAAGCCTTATGTAACTTTCATCAGTATTTGTATTAGATAAAAAATCAATATTTTTTTGTTGTTATTGAATAGACTATATAAAATCTTAAACTGATGGATGGATAATTCATTAAAAAAAAAAAAAAAAAAAGTTTCAATAATTTTATTTTTTACATTTTGAATTTAAAAGAAATATTTATTTTAAAACATTATTTTACTAGTGCCTTAGTGAATAAACATGTTAAGCTGAAAAGGAATAAAAGCAAATGCTTGCATGCATTTGATAATTTAGCTCTTTACAACTTCATTAAGAATAATATTGCAACCTTTATGGATTTTTTTTGGTTGTGTTTAACAACAAACACAAAAGAGTTTAAAAAAGTTTTAAAAAAATGGAATGATACACCATGATTAGAAAACATTAAATTTAGATAATCTTAAAATGACAATTCATTGATTAACAATAAGTGCAGAAAGTTTTAATGTTAATTATTTCCTGACAAGGAATGCACAGGACCCAAAAAGATAAATTAATGCCATGCTAGCAGTGAAAGTTTTAAAATATCAATCTTTAATATTAATAGTGTGTTACTAAATGCAATCAAGCTGCTGTTTATAAATTATTTATTTGACTCATTAAGAAACAAACCTCAGGTGTACTAGCAGCACAAATGCTATGCAATTACATTAAATCTACTGTGTTACAAGTGATACATATTTTAACAATTATTCCAAAAGGAGTGCTCACTGCTATTATATATTTTTTATTAGCTTTCTTGAAAATGTGATAAAATGTTTAAGGGGACTTGACCAAAGTAATTGTTTTAATAAAAGCCCTAAGAGGAAATAATATCTGAAAAATTGTAAACGTTATCTAATTATTTTATTTCTTTGTTTCACTTTTTAAACCAAAGAAACAATTCTTTAATTTGTTTTTAAGTGTTAGTGAAAGATCAGATTAGAATTGGATGTAGCACTATTGTTTTTGTTTGAGGGTAAGATGACTAAAAATAAAATGGAATGAAGAACTATTATTTTGTTTGAGGGTAAGATGAGACTAAAAATAAAATGTAATCTATTACTATTTTGAATATAATAATCTAATTCATATTTATTTGTTAAATTATGTTAAAATTATTTTAATTTACCATAATTTATATTTACCTTTCTTTTTTATGATCATGTTAACTATAACTCACCAAGTCGAAGTGAACATCAATATTCCAGCAACGAACAACAAACTCCAATTCTTATAGCTAAACTCTGCAACTATTCATGATTGCAACTGGTGTCAATAATTATTTTGGTACAAAATGTTAACTATTGGATTTACAGATATATTTATTTTATATAATAAAAAGTCAATATTTTAGTGAATAATGTTAGATATTTCTTTAAAAAATACTAAAATAAAAAAATTAAATTGCTTGCACACTCATCATGGATCTGTGATTTATTTTAAAAGAGTTCTACATTTTTGGTTTTAAGTTGACCTGTGTGACCTATTTATTCCATATTTTGTTTGTACTGTCAATAAACAGCCTTAAAATTTGTTCATTTATAAAGCCTTAAAACATTGTTGTGGTCTGTGATGGCGAGCCTGCGATTGGATCCTATCTTTTAATAAAAGCAATTATTGCATACAACAATTCATTGCTAACAAGCCCTCCAGCTTAATGCCTGGGATATCGATTTCAGGGTGTTTTCCAAGCAAAAGTGAGGGTAGATTTCTGGGGAGGTGGGCATTGTGGCCGATACTAGAATTATGTTCATCACTCTACATAGAATCAGTAAGAAATAGAAGAAATGCTGTTTGAAATTTAGGCTTTCCTTGACTTGGTTCAACTGGTTGTGTTCAACAAATCCTTTATCTTCAGTTGTAACTTAATTGTAATTTGAAAACTATTTACTTCTTTTAACTGCGTTATTTCCTGTCAAACTGACGTCATCAAAAGCGAAGAATCTGTCCTGTCAGATGACGTCATATGATGACCACCATGTTAATTTTTGTCTCATTTTTGAGTTTTATCTCACAACTGTTTTTTTCCCCTTACATTTTTCTGAATCTGGATCCAAATATTAAAACATCATTGATAACACAAAGTTGTTTGATTGCTACAGATAATTTCTCTGATATGATTGGTAAAACATCATTGATGACACAAAGTTGTTTTGATTGCTACAGATCATTTCTCTGATATGATTGGTAAAACATCATTGATGACACAAAGTTGTTTTGATTGCTACAGATAATTTCTCTGATATGATCGGTAAAACATCATTGATGACACAAAGCTGTTTTGATTGCTACAGATAATTTCTCTGATATGATTGGTAAAACATCATTGATGACACAAAGTTGTTTTGATTGCTACAGATAATTTCTCTGATATGATCGGTAAAACATCATTTTGATTGCTACAGATAATTTCTCTGATATGATTGGTAAAACATCATTGATGACACAAAGTTGTTTTGATTGCTACAGATAATTTCTCTGACATGATTAGTATTATCAAATCTCTGTTGCTTCACAATTAATCATTTGAAAAATGATAAGTCTTAAAATAAAAAAAAAACTATATATCAATTTATAATGGTCTTTCTAGGGCACAGAAATAGTATTAAAATTATTATGAGGGGAATTTCATTGCAATTTTGATGGTAAAACTAAAATTCAAATCCAAAAGGTTTTGATTAATTGAACTATTTTGTGATAAAAATTTTGTTTTAAAAAATTCGCTGAGACAATTTAACCAATTGAGGCTTCACAATCAAAATGTTTTTCCCCAGTATTTAATTTGCAGTTGATGCTCAAAGTCTAACTTCTATTCAACAGGGGCAAGTGGATATATATTGTGAAATACCCTTATGTGATGCCCCAAAACTCCTTGTTCCAATGTCACTTGCCCCAATGCCACCAGCCCCTTGCCCCAAGCCTCTTTCCCAAATTCCACCAGCTGCTTACCCCAATGCCACCAGCCCCTTGCCTAAATGCCACCAGCCCCTTGCCCCAATGCCACCAATCCCTTGCCCCAATGCCGCCAGCCACTTCCCATTGGGTAAGTAAAGGATACAAAAGGTGATATAGACTATTTCAGTACTCTGTTTTCAAACCCGGAGTTGGAGTCCCGTACGGCGCACACAATGACAATTCCTGCAACCGTACCCATCCCTGGTCGTCATATGGTGGGCCCGGAGAGTGAGGTGGTCGCCGCGCAACTTTTCCTCGCCTTAAACAGAAGTCACCCGCGCAAGTCATCTGTCACCGGACGCCTCGATGGTCATCGTCGATCTTCGACGGGCGAAATATATATTATATATATATTTAAATACTAGCCAAAATACCCGGCGTTGCACGGGATTGCTTTAGGACCCGATCCTTGTGTGACCCCGATCCCATTGGAACCCTAGTCACATTCTGACACCGATCCCAGTGCAATCCCGTTTTGCGGTGTGATTTCGATCCCGGTGGATCCATTGAAGGGTGGGAACCCGATCCAGGTGGAATCCCGTTTTCTTGTGGGATCCTGATCCCTTTGGGGTAAAGATTATGATGGGATCCCGACCCCCCTTGGGATCCCGTATAAAAAAAATTATGTGTTACTGAGAGAACAATAAACTCCTGACAGTATAGAAATGAATAGTACTAACTAAAATTTCATTATCCCTTAAAATGCACTATATATATATCCCCGTGGAACAAATTAGAACTTTCTGGAACATTCTAGATTAAATTTAATAACCTTTTCGAAACATGTGTAAAACTAGTTTTCTAATTATTTTTTGAATACGATAATAATCTTCAACAAATACAATAATTATAATCCTTTTTCATTTAAGTTAATCATTGGGCCCCGGGGGCCCATTCCATAACTGTACCGATTTAGCAATTGCTTCAGATAGAGGGCCCTGTAAATATCAGACGGATAAATAATAGAGTTAAAATGTGTCCCATTAAAATCTACTTAAAAATGCCATAGATATAACTTTTTAAAATTATCGAACTTTCTGGAAAATTCTAGATTGGATATTATTAGTTTTTAAAACATGTTAACAATGTCCTGACTAACATCGAATTACACAGCTAATAATAAACGGGTGGATATAAGAAGGATATAACGGTTGGTGTTATGCTCACGTACACACTGGTCTCGAATTTCATTAATTTAAGAATTCAGTGTACGGTTGTCTTATTTAATGATCAAAAGATCCTGGTTCTGAGTCAGATTGACGACATACTATTACTTTTTTTAGAAAATTGTTCCTATTTAAAACACTTTTTACCATATGCCCAAAGAGTCATTATCCATGAGCATTATCATTCATGAAGGAATTATGAGAGACAATAGGAGCGATTAAAAACGTCACAACAAACCAGGTGCTTCTCCCCAGCGTCACAACAAACCAGGTACTTGTCCCCAACGTCACAACAAACCAGGTACTTGTCCCCAACGTCACAACAAACCAGTTACTTGTCCCCAACGTCACAACAAACCAGGTGCTTGTCTCCAGCGTCGCAACAAACCAGGTGCTTGTCTCCAGCGTGACCACAAACCAGGTACTTGTCCCCAACGTCACAACAAACCAGGTGCTTCTCCCCAGCGACACAACAAACCAGGTACTTGTCCTCAACGTCACAACAAACCAGGTACTTGTCCCCAACGTCACAACAAACCAGGTACTTGTCCATAACGTTACAACAATTCAGTATGGACACAAGCCAGGCTAGACTACCTTTTTAAATAGCATGGTACCTTAAATGGTTCACACTACCCATCGAAGTCTTTCAAGCTTGTCACCGTAATACACCAGCTCCCATCTCGATAAATCTGACCCGAAAACTTTCCGTAGAGATTATTATCATACCTTAAAGCGTAGTAGTTAAGTCGCGGTGCTCACCTATCTATTTCATCTAACTTGGTCCCGATGGTAAGGGCATGGATATTTTGACAACGACCAAATAGCTACACATCAAGTTAATCTTGATTTCTCTATCCAATTTTCTCACTGCTGATAGTAATTATGCCTGATACCCCGTGACGCCACCCATGGACAAGCACCAGAAAGATGGAAAAGCTAGCATCCTATTTTAGGTCACTCTGGTTCCCAAGTGGTTGCTCTGCAGATGTGCTTAACCTAAATTACTGCTACCTGTAAAGCTACCTCACTTCTAAGCTTTTGTGGCCCCCCCCCCCCCCCCCCAACCCTTTTCCCATGTTACAACTTCTCCAACACTCTCACACGATTACCAAACAATTTTATATAATGAATATGAATCTGAAGATGCTTTCACCCTGAGCTGTTATAATTTTTACACACATCACAAAAATGTCTCAAGGTGTGATCAGCTCGCGGGTCTGCACAACATACGGCCTGCGGGCCACATGCGGCCCGCCAGCACCCACTTTGTGGCCCGCGAAGTCACAAAATAATCTGTATTCTTATTATTTTCTTTATATCTTTTCCCCTGACCTATTTTCTTTTGGCCCGCACGAGTCCTGTCTTATTTTCTTTTGGCCCGCACACGTTTGTCATAAAGTATAACGGCTCACCTTACATTTTGAGTTGTGCAGGCCTGATCTTGAGAATAAAATCCCCATTCCGACAGGATATATATTTTTTAGCATAATACCATAGAGTTTCCGAGAAATAAATTATTGAACTTATACAAAAAGCACAAATAGTGGTTTCCTATAACTAAGTATTCTAAGGGTTGGGGAGAAGGCGTACATGCAATGTTGGGGTAACCTAACCTCTAGGTCAAATTCAAAGACAATGATGGGTGATGAACGCTCTGTTTCGTAGAAGAGTGGCCTATAATGCCATATCCATACACAAGTTGTGTTTTATTTGCGCTTGACAAAGGATGTTCCATTGAAAAGTCAAGTCATGTTTTCATGAAATATTTAAGTTATCTTTATGTGACATAGCAAACTTATGTTAAATAAGGTCAATGGTTCCCAATCTGTTTCCTGACTGGACTCCTCAAATTTTATAATCTTTTTGTTTGCTTGGATTTGGATGTTTACAAAATAATTGACAAGCTTGGATGTTTACAAAATAATTGAAAACAAATTGCAATTGGATAAATTTATATAATATATAAATTAATAATATATAAAGAAACCATTTAGACTGACTTGTCAAGATACTTTAATGTCTATAATTAAGTCTAACATGAGCCCTCGCAAATTAATAAGGGATTTGTAAGGAAAAGCCGGTACTCGTGTTAAATTTCTAGTGGATGTATTATGTATATCTTCTGTCAGAGGTTGATGTTAATTTGTTGGCCTAAAGCCAATTCATAACTTATAAAGAGAAGCAACTGATTTAGGAAACGAAAGCGAAAAAAAATGGCCTTGTTGAGCGCAACGTCGTGTAGTCTGCCAGAAATTTTGTGGGGAAGGTGTACTTTTAATTTTAAAGTTATTGGTAATCTAGCTAAATCCGTTGGATCAACTAATTGCCGGTACATAAAATCGTACATGTGGTGTCCTCAAGTGAACCACCGACAGGTAGTTTTTTTATTTTATTTTTTAATAATTGAATATGGATTTGGACTTTGGTTGTACTGCAACACAAGAAGTTGAACTTTGTAGTGGAGTTGGACTTCGGCCTTTCACTTTTGACCTCACTTTGTAATAATTGAACGGTAACTAATTTTACGTCCTTTTAAATTTAAAGAAAAACATTGCCTTTTCGTTTTTTAGGTCTAAAATAATATGATTTCTTTAAAAAAAGGTTATATATATATTATTAAAGTATTTTTTTTTATTTGACATTATTAAAAAAAAAATTGTATTTTATTTTGATAATTTATAATTTATATTATATTTATAATATTGTTCATCACTCAACAAAAATTATTAACAACTAGGCCCCTGCTTCTGGGCATAAAAAAAATAAATATTTGTGACCATTCAACTTTCAGCAACCATTCAATGCATTCATTTCATTGAAACAAACTTTCAACTTTAGTTTAAGCATAATCTAATTTTGAAATTGAATTATCATTCATAAGTCTCAATCATGTCCCCTGTCATCAATGAGTTATCCATTTAGAGATTAGACTAATCTCTAAATGGATGACTCATTGATGAATTAGACTAAGTACATGTGTCATGTTGTTGTAATTGCCCACAATTATGTACTTCAATACTAATAACAAGAGAGAGCACACAATTATTGTGAATAATGAATTACTGATTAGTCTCTAGCCTCAAGTGAAATATATAAATGATAACCAAAATAGTCCAACCACTAGATTAATATTATTAAGGTTTGGAGAAGTAAAAATTTTGAATTTTAAAAAAGAAAAATAATAATTTTTATTTAAGAAAAGACCATTGCCAATATTTCTCCAGAATAATGGAAAATTATGGACGCATCACTACAAATTAGCACTTATTAAAAGTGGAAAGTGCTAATCATTAATGTTCAGTTTGTTCACTTGGACTTTGTACATTAAAATGTGATGCAGAATAATTACTTGATAATCTACCAATGCTCTTTTTGGTCTTATGGTTTACAGCTTTTTATGTTTCACATTCACCTCACATGCACAACAAGGTTTGATACCAATATACATAACAATTTTTTTGCATTTAATTTTTTATGTTTTCAATCTGTTGTAATTTTTTCTAAAGCCAGGTTTTCTAAAAAGGGTACTGCTCAATCCTAATTTTTATTTAAAATTGAGAAATCATAATTGTGTACCCACCTCAATGGCCATAACTGCAAGATGTCATGTTGACCTTAAACATGAAATGGTTGTATCCAGATCTCAAGTGCCTTAACCTCTTTGACACTCAAAAACACACTCGATCAAGATAGTGTAAGTTTTGTTGCTCTTTCAAATTTTTAAGTCACAGAAGATTGAAAGGCTTCTCAGACAGAATTGACATAATTAATTCATTTTAAAAGTGGCCCATTTAACTTGATTCACTTGGTACACTTAGAAGTGCAACAATGATGATGAACAAGAGCTACCGAAAATCTCATGGTCTCTTGAAAGGTAATTTCAATAATTTTAAATAGGTTCCTAATTTAAATATGTATTCACTGTCATTAGGGATCATCATCAGTTCAGTAAAGGGAAAACTAGTTGGTTAAAAAAAGAAATAGATATAAAAAAGGCAGTAGAATATGGAGACACTTAAATAAAACATGCAAAAGTTTGAGACACAATACATCATTCATTTTCCTAAAATTGAAACCTTCAGACAATTTGACAAAGTAAATTTAAATTTAAAGGAATATTATTGATACCTCAGAAAATTTGAAAAAGTAAGTTTAAAGAAATACAATTGATACTTTATGAACATTTGACAAAGTAAATTTAAAGAAATATAATTGATACCTTCAGAACATTTGACAAGGTAAATTTAAAGAAGTATAATTAAATGAATTATATGTCGTATCCATAATATAGTAATTATAAAATAATAATAATATGATCAAATTATTTATGCATACATTCATATTTCTAGTAATGACAAATAGATATTCACATTAATATTCATTAGATTCGTAGTAATAGAGATTTAAAAATCTAATTAAATATATAACATTTACTCAATTTGAATCTGGTTATTGACATCACAGGTGCACAGTTACTACAGCAAACAGCAACTTGGGTATGTCTGTTGCCACCTTCATCTTTGCCATCATCGCTGCACCTCAATACGTTCATCTGCAAACAGAAAATGGAAACACAGTTTATCTAAAGCACTTCCAGTTTTTCTGTCATCTTTATCTTCTTATTCTACAATGCAAACAAAAAGAGAGTTTTCGACTTCCACAAAAGATGATCCAGATTCTTCATATCTCATAGTGGACCCATACAAACTAGTAGCTTTAGAAATGGAAGGTTTAGGTGATGGAATTAAAATGGTAAATCTTTCTTCTTAAGGAAGGTTGAAACTTATATTTAATAGCTTGTTAGTATTGCATCTTTACATTTATCCTTTCCAGTGTTTGTAAAGATTTGAAATTATTGTAACTGAGTCAACTCTTTTGTATATCCATAAAATAAAATAAATTGAATTAATATTAAGTGGGTAAAAGACTAAATAAATAATGTGATAGTTATTAATCAAAACTATTAAATGATCTAGTAATCTCTATCTCATGTGCATGTGGGTTTTCACAATTGACCACCCTTAAAGATAAAGTAACATTTGGTAATGTTTATTATAGTATGTTTTTATATAAAATATTGTTTTCTGTAATGCACACTTGGTTTAAAAAAAGGATGTTTTGATTTGGTGCTGGATTTTTATTGTGTTAAATTATATTTGTAGATTCTCACAGCACAAGAACCACTTCTCCAAGCAATGTCATATTATTTCTTTGATGGAAAAGGGAAGACATTTCGCCCACTTGTAGCCTTTCTTATGTCCAAGGCTTGCAACATTTCCACTAATATAGGTGACAGGTAATATTTTTTAAAGTGCTATCTTTTTTTTTTAGTTAAAAGTAAGATTATATAAGCCATTACTGATTAAATTGAGTGAATTCAAAGATATTTGTTAAACATCTTATAGCTGGTTAATGCCAATTTGTCAATAAAGACTCTATAAAACACAGGTTCCCAACCATTTTTGAGGTGTGGCCCATATTTATAGAACCAAAATGACCCCCAACCCATAAACATTAACAAAATCTATTTTTGATTTAAAAGAAAACACATGAAAAATTGTTTTTTTAGTATAATATAATTCAACGTAAGACTAATTTAATGAAATGATTGAAACTATCCCTCATGAACAAGTTTCATCCTTCAGTTTTCATTACTAATAAGGTCATGATATACACAACATTTAATCTGTTTCATATTTATTTTGATTTCATTAAAGTTTTGAAAGTTTATTCTCACAGAGATGTGTGGAAGCAAAAGGGTGGCTAAGGACAATATTCAAACTTTAAGACACCAATTAAAAATGAAACTCGCTTTAAAAATAAATATTATTTTTTGTTTAGTAACAACAGCTAGATCAGAATCAACATAGATTTTGTGTGACACCCCCCACCCCCAGCAACTCTAAATGGGAGCTGTCAAAGATATTCCATGATTATTTTCTGTATAGCCATCAATGTCTAAATGGGAGCTGTCAAAAATATTCCATGATTCTTTTCTGTATAACCATGAATGTCGTACATTGTATCATCAGTTAAGAATGAAAGGTCACCTTGTAACCATGAGTTGAAAGGGCTGTCACATTTCCTTCATAGATTTTGATCATAACACTTGTGCAGTTTGTTGTCCATAATGTCTCCATTATACTCTGTTTGCAGTGTTTTAGAAAAGCAGAGGATAGTTGCCAGAGTAGCCGAAATGTTTCACACCGCCTCTCTTATACATGATGATGTCATTGATGATTCAGACACTCGTAGGGGACGGTCAAGCTTAAATGCTACTTATGGACAAAAAAAGGTAAGTTAATAATTAATGCTGGAAAAAAATCATCAAAAGTTTTAAGAAACTTTGGCTATTTTTTTTCTTAATAACTTTTTTGTGTGGGTCATTGCAGTCCATCCTTGTTGGCGACTACATTCTTTCTCAAGCATCCATTGCACTCTCCTCAACAGGAAGTTCAGAAGTTGTGTCTATCATGTCTTCAGTTTTAGGTGACATTGTTATTGGTAAGACTGAAATTTTCAATTGTTTGAAATTGAGGCCTTTTTTCTAAACCTTTTCAAAATAAAATTTTAATTTAAAATTAACTTTAAACTTTTTGCGCTCCTTTAGTCTCAATCATGGTTTAAGATTATCTGACTTTTTAAACTTTAAAATAAATTACAGACACTCCTTGATATGTTCACATGGAGAGTCTGATATAAATTATTTCAGGTGAATTCATCCAGCAATTTTCTGAAGAAAATGAAAGATTCCCTCAATATTTGAAGAAAACTTATATGAAAACAGCGAGCCTTATCGCCAAAACCTGTAAAGCTGTAAGTTTCGTGTTTATATCATGATGACCATTTTTATTCCTAAGTAAAAACATTTATCACAATTTTATAGGCCTAATCTAGTTTAAAAATCTTCATTTGGGTGCTGTAGAATCTTTCCATGAACGTTTGACCCTAATATGTCAGACTCTAAAGTCTGGTATTATAATTTAATGATAGATAGTTCTCACTGCTGCTGCCTGTATGATTTTCAATTTAAACTGCTGTATGAATATTGGACAACTTGCTGTTGGCCTGGTACCTGAGACAACACACTGCCACTTGTCAAGCATGGTACACTTCAGAACATGCCACATTTGTGTGAAGATTGAGCCACATGGGTCACTTGCTGTTGGCCTGCTACTAGCCACAACACATGGCCACTTGTCAAGCATGGTGCACTTCAGAACATGCCATATTTGTGCTGTATATTATTGTATTGATTTGGAATGAATATTTTGTAAAATGCTGCGATTCTCCTGGTTTAGAGAAAATGTAAAGTGAGATATGTGGCTATTTAGAGTCTCTGTACATCCTTTCAAATACAATTACACTACAAAATTCTCAGAATCTTTACACCAATGAAACTACTTTTAAATGATTTTTTTTTTTAATGAACTTTTGCAGGTTGCAATTTTTGGGAAATGTAATGAAGAGATGACAGAACAAGCTTATCAGTATGGTAAAAATCTGGGCATTGCTTTTCAGGTGTGTGATTAAGACAAGATATCTTAGTTGACACAGACATGAAAGGAAGTTGAATTCATTTTTTTTAATGAAAAATTTTAAACAGTTGAGTCCTACCATCTTTTAAACAGAGGGCATCTCCATCCCATCTTAATTTCAAATAGAAACAATAGAAAATTTAAAAAAAAAAGTTCTGTTCCTACAATCTGGGAATTGTGTCGATATCACAAAAAATGCCAACCAGATGCTGTTCAGACCTTAATTGTGTCATGGAAAAGAGGAAATATTGATTCCAAGATACCTTATGATGTTTTCCTTTATTTCTGCTGTCAATTACAATAATTTTAAACAAAATAAGTTGACAATGGGCCTATTACAGAGATGTTTATGCTAATATTGCCTTACAATGTATGATTTTTAGATGTATTTTATGATTGTAGGCAGAGACTAGCCAAAACTACAATTCTAAGAGATCAGATTAAAAAATAATCTGGTATTTTTTTTCTATTTAAAAAGAATTAAATAATTGGATTTTGAAGTTTTAGCTCTTGCTATAAATATCTGCAGTGAATGGAGCAAAAAGAAATAATTGGTTTTGATTTTTTTAAATTTTGAGACCATCCTAAATTATATGACTTGTGCACTGAAAGGGGAGGTGGGGGGTTCTTGATTGAGGAGATTTGGCAGACATTGGGTAGGGGGATGGGTGGGAGTGTCAAAGGCAAAAAAATATAATTGCAATCTTTCATAATAATGGTGATGATTTTGTCATATGCCAGATACTGCGACAGTAATATTTACCCTAGCCACCCTTGCAACAACTTCATTTGACACTCCGCCTTTGTCTGCTACCATGCATGTGACATAGTTTTGTGACACAATTAGGCCTATTTTGTTTTTCTTAACTGCAGCAATTGTGAAAATTGATGTTTATTTATTTTAAAAAAAGAAGTAAAATGCATTCTCAATTGCTCTGCACAGGAACATTAGATTTCGAAATATTTTATAATATCTAGGTAGCAAAATTTGCAATCTATTTTTAGAACTTGCAAAGCAGTTGTATCCTCTTCACAATCTATCCCCTGCACGATTTCAATAATACAACAGTTTGATAATGCAATACTACTGTCACACTTTTCCCCCCCCTAATGAGTGGGAGGGGGACGGTTGGTCACCGAATGAAATAGTTATGTCGCCAGCAGGGAAAGACAAACAGTGTAATGTAACTACAATCAGCTCTGGTGTCCAAATTCGGCGGCATTGACAGACGTGCACATTGCATGGATGATTTTAATGTTACTATCAGATTGGAATCTGGGCTCCTTTTTCGTGACTACAGATTTATTTTAAAATGCAATTTAAACTTCTCAGAACAGCAGCGTAGCTTTGATATATTCTATAAGATCTAGTAAGCGGTATTTGAAATCGATTTTTTGAAATCACTAAACAGCTGTACAATTTTAATACAGCAGTTTTGTTCCATCACTTCTCCCCATACAGCTTGCTGTAGTTATTTGACTACAATATGTTAACGGAAAATAAATTCAGGTTCCTAGGCTTAATACAGAGGTGGGCAATCCCGGCCTGTCACATTAAATGTTTTGGCATCCCAGATGTATTGAAAATGAACTTATTTCTTCATTGCAATAACGATTATTTTAATTTGTTGCATAAATACCAGTATTTTTTGTGGACAGTACCCACCATTTCAATGTACCCACCCAGCCCATTTTGAACTGATTTAAAAAATAAATAGAAATAAGTAATAAATAATTAAACAATTTTACTATTCATTAACTACTAAAATAAAAAGGGCTACAAAGATTGATGAGGGGAACCGAATTTTTCACAGGCATTACAATTAAGTGTAGAATGATGCAAAACTTTATTCAGGAATACACAAAAGTGCAAACCTTCATTTTAAATTTCTAAAAAAAAAATATGGGAAAGGGGCCCCCAAACCCCACCCTCACTTTTGTTCAGGTGACTTCAGCGGGCGTCCTCAATATTCAGCTCCCCCACCACAGCTTTGTCTGGCAAATTGGCAAATATATAAACGTCAGTCATCTACTTTGAAGTGACCTTTTTTTAGACATGCGATGCGAATAGTTGTTTTATACATTATTCTGTATCTTTACTTATTTACTATAGCAATATGGTATTGTGAGATTTTGAGATGGTGAAGTACTATTCTGAGACTATATTGTACTATTTTGGGAGTTCCAGTTTAGACAGGTCTGCTGTTGTATTTTGTAATAAAAAAAGCTGAAAATTCGGGCATATATTTTCTACTGAAAACTCTACAATACTTAAGGGACTCAACATATTTGTTAAAATAATACAGCTTTTATGTATCTCTTGATAGTGTAGTAATAGAATCTAATCATGCATTTGTTTACATAGTAACTTAGAAAAATATCTTTATCACTGGGTTGAATTTTCAACCTCAAGTACACACAGGTACAAAAATTAGATTTGTAAAATTTCATAAACGCTGCTTTTTAATGGCTGTGGTAGGGCATGAAATCTATTTTTCTTCATATGCCACCCTATTATTTTATATCATCTGTAAACATTTTCCAGTTTTAAGTTTCGTTATCATTGTTAACATAACTTGGATTTTTGTTTTGTGATTTCTTATTGTTAAAATAAATTCTAAAGTCCACATTTGTTTTCCTAAGCTTGTGGATGATCTTTTGGACTTCATCTCAAGTGACAACGTCATGGGTAAACCTACAGCAGTTGATCTCAAACTAGGGTTAGCCACCGCCCCTGTCTTATTTGCTGCTCAAGAGGTAAGCTCTGTTATAAATCATTATATAAATGACAGTGTAAATGGCTAATTCATAATACTTTAGAACAGTGGTTCTTAACCTGGGTTCGATTGAACCCCAGGAGTTCTGTGAGTCAGTCTCAGGGGTTCGGAGGTCCAAAAAAAATCAGAAAATAAATCATATTTTATTTTTCCTATTATGAAGGGTCTGGTGAATGCGCATATGAAACTGGTGGGGTTCGGTACCTACAAAAAGTTTATGAACCACTGCTTTAGAACATCTTCATTTTGAAGAAAATGTATATACATCAGAAAATCAAACAAATTATTGGAGTTACAGATGTATGGGAACATATTATATGTCTTTATTTTGTTACTGTATCTAATATCAAATCTATGATCCTCCATCAACATTGTCAATGGTGACATTGTCAGCATCTCTACCAAAACACAGAATACTTCAAATATAGTTAAATAATTACTTAGTCAAATAACTTCAAACAAGCCTAGATAGCTACACATAGGAAATAACTTCAAACATAGCTAAATAACTACAGGGTGGGCTAATAAAAGTGAGAACATCTCGTAAAATTAGGGCAACGTTTCATTGACAGAAGCATAAACGTGTGGCGTCGACGCTTGGAAAAAGTCGTTGAGAAGCAAGGAGGACACATTGAACATGATTTCTGATTAGCTAAATGTTTTGAAGAAAAAAAATCCCATGAAGAATTATAATTAATAAATTATATTTTGAAATAACTCGCATATATGAGATGTTCTCACTTTTATTGGCCCACACTGTATATTGTCATATAATTTCTAGCTGACAGTCTCGCTAACAGCGCTCCATGCAACATTGTGTTTGTATGCTCAAATTGGCTGGGTAAAGACTTGAAACATAACCAAAGAAATTAAGAAACCAGATGGATTTAAAAGTTGCAAGACCACTTCAGCATAGGGAAATGAATTCAAACATAGTCACATAGCTTTAAACATAAAGAAATGAATTCAAACATAAGCCAGATAATTTCCGTCAGATAACTTTAAAAAAACCCAGAATGCTTTAAACATAGCCAAACATAGTCAGATAACTTTAAACATAGTCAGATAACTTAAAATATAGTCAAATAAATTTAAACGTAGATAACTTCAAAAACAGATGACTTAAACTAAAAACATCTTTAGTTTTACCAGTAAAGCTACAAGTACCAGAATAAATCTAAAATGCATGTATGTCCCATCTAAGTTAGGAATATTAATTCATTTAACTTTATTAGAGTTAAGTATTGCTTTCTCAACAGTCCAATATCTGTTATTAGTAAAATAAAGGTTGCTGAAGCTGTCCCTGACTTCCATATTCACCTAGACATTTTGTTGTTGACAGCATTCATTGTTTTCTTAAAAGTATCATTGACTAAATTGTTTCTTTCATTTTATTCTTTTAGTACCCTGAGCTAAATGCAATGATTATCAGACGATTTTCCCAGGAAGGTGATGTTGAACAGGCCAGATATTTTGTTGCTAAGGTAAAATACTTAACATTGATCCCTTTTAACACACTCAGAAGTTCAAACAAATTAAGAAAATATTTTCTCATAACTCACAAAAACTGAAAACTGTTCAAAACCCGAGTAACAGATTTTATTATATTTTTTTTTTATGCCCTTACAAGCAAAGAACAAACATACTCAGTATTCTAAAGAACAAAGAGGAAATACATTTTAACTGTATATATTTTATATGTTGATGTTTAGGATTAATTAGCCACTAGAACTTCTAGAAATCGACAATAATTGGAAAAATGATGCTCTGTGGCAGTCAAATTTGGGAGCTAAATATTTCTCAAATCTCTTATTCCTATAGAGTGATGGAATACAACAGACCAAGCTGCTTGCCTTAAACCATAGTAATGAAGCCATAAGAAATTTACAGGATTTTGTCAAATCAGATGCCCAGAGAGCACTTATACACTTGGCCAAAATTTTGTTGGAGAGGAAGAAATAGCATGTCAGTTGTTTTATGCACCAGCCCTACTTGCTGCAATAACCACTCTCTTCTTGTTCAAAAGTGAATGGGTTTTCTTTTAGCCAGACACACAAAGATTTCCAAGTTTCTTTCTTTTAATTTTCTCTTAATAAAACTTTAAAGAATATCATTTTAAAAATGTTAAGCCAGAATTAAATCAGCTCATTGTAACTTGAAGTATATGTTTCAAAATTGTCAATGTATGTAAATTGAATTTTTTTCAACCTTCTTTTTCTAAATATACTTTTATTTTCTAATCATAACAGTTTAATGCTGTGAAAATTATAAAAAAACATTAAAAAAAAATTGAAATAAAAAGCCTTGCTCTTTGTTACCCTGACCTTGAACAAAAAAAATGTCTAGTTGAAAGATCATTTGCAGCATTTTCCAAAGAGAAAAATATAAATTTTAATAAAATGCTTGAAGGTATTTCATATTAGTAATCTTACCAACCAAAAGTCTTAAATAGACAAAATAGTATTTTTTTGCCTATTGTTGCAAAAGATTCTGAATGATAGATAGTATTGTGTTAATTCATACCAAATGTAATATAATTAGCAAAATTTTCAAACCTTTTCTTTTAGACATTTTATTTGCATTAACCAAATTTTTTCTTTAAATAAATTTTTATGAGAGAATGAAGCTGAAGATAGTTTGGCTTAAATTTCACTACTGATTAAAAAGCCAGCTTATGTGATGTGATGGTGTAACAATTTGTAACAGAATATTTATATCAGTTCATGCATAATTTGTATTGCTCTACAGGGATCATTTTAACAAATATCTTTCCTTATAACCACTCAAAGCTACATAATAAGTCAAGTATTGTTATATATTTAAAACTCATATGTACAATTAAACAGGTTATGTTCTTTTCTTTCTTATATCTGAATTCTTTACTAATTGTTTTAATGATTGCATATACAGATCAGACTAAAGTCTGTGTCCATGTCCCAACCCACCAGACACAATATTTTATTGAAAACCTTTACTTAGTTCAAGGATAATATAGCAGAGACTGTGTTCAAGCTGAGTGAATGAAAAAGTGAGAAGATGGTATGTGACAGCCTGAATAAGTGAGAAGATGGTATGTGACAGCCTGAAAAAGTGAGAACATGGTATGTGACAGCCTGAATAACAACATGACAATCAAATGAATTTTCCAGCTGAAGGCCTTCACCAGGAAACAAGAGAATAAAAATTTCAGAACTAAGCTTAGAAAAACTTGACTGGAAGTTCTTCAAATTCCACATTAAAATTTTTCTAAGAAAGCATGTAATAGAGTCTAATTTTACTGTAGAATAAGTCTACCTTGTTATGTAGAAAAAACATGTTTATCCACATATAAGGTACCTGTAGTGTATTGGAATCACATGTGGGACTAACAGAATAATACCTGGCTGCTTCAGTCTTGTAGTGTGTAAACAAAAGTTAAGGTTCATCCATTTCTGTTTTATTAATATAACATGAATGTAACATTAATATAACATTATTAGTGCCACCCCATTAGTGCTAACTGCTAGTATGTGGACAGATGTGGGTTTATCTGGATCAGAGAAATGCTCTTTTTGGGATCAGGGCAATGACTTAGGATTGTGTGCATGGAATCAGGGCAATGACTTAGGATTGTGTGCATGGGATCAGGGCAATGACTTAGGATTGTGTGCTGGGTTCAGGACAATGACTTAGGATTGTCTACATGTACAGTATATTCTGTAGTATGCTATGACATTAACAAATGTTTGATGTTTTTAAATATCTGATGCAGCACTCAAAAACATAAAAATAAATAAAAGAACACCTCAAGTATAAATTTATATTATTATTCCAAAATTCAACATATCATGTATGCATAAATATACGTGTTCATCATAAATCATGGGAATTAAAATCATTTTAAAAATGTTCAAATTCTAAAAATAGAAGCGTTAAAATCAATTATAAGTAAGGGAGATACAAAACATTCAAAATATTGATGACACTAGCTCCTTAATTGTAATGTAAATCAAGGATGAGGGGTCATCCATACATAGAGGTCATCCATACATTAGGTGCACACGGAGGAGAGGTGGAGCTGGTCCAAGTAAGATAAAAGGACCCGATGTAATATGATATTTGAAGTAGTTTAATAAAATATCATAGCTGAAACATTGAGAGATCACAAAACACAGTGTTGTCTTCTTTAAAAGTACATTCTATTTGTACAATGGCTGGCATAATTTTTATTTCAGGTGAGCCCCAAAATGATAATTACTTTTATTTTGATATTGGCTTTTTATATATTTTTAGAGAGTTTGTTATTTCATAGATGTTTAATTTTCATGTCATGGAAATTTTACTATGGTCACTTGGTTATACAAATACAAGAAGGTAAATCAAAACGTACTTCAGCTGATATGGCATTGTTCAGTATAAGTTAAGCATAGGCAAAATCTCTGATTTTAGGTTGCATGCCATTTTTAAAGACTTGCATTAAGGGAAACAAATGTGGCAAGAAAGTATTACTGGCATTCACGTCAGATATTTAAAAAAATATATTTTAAAACATTTTCAGAGCTGTAAACATTTTAAATATTTAATTTAAAAAAAACAAAACATGAAGGGTGTGGGTTAGCTCATTGAAAAGCTGTCCAAATATGTACAGATGGAAAGCTGTCCAAAAATGTACAGATGGAAAGCTGTCGAAAATTGTACAGATGAAAAGCTGTCCAAATATGTACAGATGGAAAACTGTCCAGAAATGCACAGATGGAAGCTGTCCAAATATGTACAGATGGAAAGTGTCCAAATATGTACAGATGGAAAACTGTCCAGAAATGTACAGATGGAAGCTGTCCCAAAATTTACAGGTAGCAGCCGTCCAGAAATGTAGAGGTAGAAGCTGTCCAGAAATGAACATATGCAACAGGGAAAATGAAAATAGACGTTCTTGGTATATGTTCTATATGGATGACCCAATATGTCAACCATTTAATAACAGCTGCACCGGGAAATACAAGCATGCATTGATTAAATGCATAATAGTTTCAAACATTCCATTCATTCTTCACATGATGAGTCCACCAAAGATATAGCATTCTACATTGTCTGCCCTGTCATGTTAACTGTCATTATACCATCACTTAGGATGGGATCAAACAAAACCAATCATCATGTCGAATACTGTCGGTACATTCTCTAAAACAACCATCATCCACTTCAAACACGCATGCAATCGGTCAATGTTCTAGTTTGAAACAAAAAGTCCTTCTGCAGTTAACTGTCCAAAAGATTTGAAACATCCAGCCTAGAGATCATGGCACGGAATGGACAGTAGAAATTTTTGAACCGATTAGCACAGTCTGGAACAGGTCTCAACTTAATGAGGATGTAAGGCTGCAATGTTTCTGTGCTCATGCAATAAATATCACACTGGTACTCCACTGAAAGTTCAGGAGGCTTACTGCCGTTTCCCGGTGCAGGGACATCTACAGAAGACTGCCGCTCCGCACTGCATTCTTGTTTAGCCTGCCTTGCTTTCATCGTGAGCTTCTCTTTCTCATTCTCCTTCAGTAGACGGTTGCTGATCTCCACCTCTAGATCAAGGCCACTCAGTTTGGTAGAGCTACCCACTGATTTTCTTATCTTACTCCTGCCCATCCACAAGGAATGTTTACACTTGCAAGTATAAGAAAATACTTGAGGGGATTGACCTCTCAACACTGTATCTAGGGATTCGTTGTGTTCACTGCAAGCCACGGTCCCATGAGTCACATCATCCTTGTAAGGGAGTGAAGATGAACCATGGTCAAGTTTTTTCTCTAGAGATGAAAGTCCATCACAAAATCTTTTCTCTGGATTCTCATTCACTTTTCTTTCAGACTTATTTGTTGCCAAAGAACACTTTCTGTCACTAGACCTTTTATGGAGATTTTCTGTCACTTCGTTATAATCACTCACAGGTGAAAGGACCTCATCATCGTCTCTATCCAGAAGTGCATCGTCACTTGTTCTTTTGCCTCCAGAAACTTCCATCAATTCTTCCTGTTCATCATCTTCATCAAGAAGACGGACATCACTTGATTGCTTGGCACCGCAAGCTTCCATTATACCTTCCTGTGCATCGACCTTCATGTTTGAGTTAGCGAACGACTGAATACCACTGCATTCTGGTGTAACAGCGGCTGGGTTTTGATAAACAGCTGCCAGAGCAACTACATCCGTCATAAAGACCTTCTTTAAGACATCGATTACCATCGCATGAGCCAAGTGCCACCATCTCTTTGAAGAATCCTCACTGTGAAATTCTGACTCTTCCAGCAACATTGGACTGCCCAAGGTTCTGGGAGGCTGGAGAGTTATGATGAAATCTCCATTGGCTTGTTCCCCATCAACTTTTGTCACATGTTCTCTCTGCTTGGCTGCTGGCCGACCTTTGGCACCGGTGTCTGCCGGACTTTTCATCTTTTCCTTAGGATCTGGGCTTGGAAGAAACAATTCTGTGAAAAAAATAATGTTCTACTGTAATTATATTTATGTCATCCTGACCCATCTCACCAGCCATCTACACAAGGTACAGTATTTATATCATCCTGTCACATCTCCCCAACCCTCAACACAAGGTACATTATTTATATCATCCTGTCCCATCTCCTCAGCCCTCTACACAAGGTACATTATTTATATCATCCTGTCCCCTGTCCCATCTCCCCAGCCCTCTACACAAGGTACAGTATTTATATCACCCTGTCCCATCCCTCTACAGTAAATTAAATGATACAAAAAATGAACCTGCAACACCCCAAGGCTCCTCCTTAGGAATGGTGGCACAATCAGACCACTGGCTGATCAGCTCTGCTGCCCTCTTGACTTCTTTTATAAAGATGGCTTTGACTTTCTCGTTGATGTTGCCCAGCACATTGTGTGTTAGAACAAAGGGATCCAAGAGAGTCATACAGCCAGTCTGATTCAGGAGGAATAAGGAATTAGTTGGTCAAATAAAACCTGGATTCAGTCTGATTCAGGAGGAATAAGGAATTAGTTGGTCAAATAAAACCCTAGTTTCAACCAGCATTGCAAGGACTGACATGCTTTGTCAGTATACAAATCTGCTTGGCATTCTATGTACTTAACAAAATGTACAGCAAAGTCAACTCTATGAGTTGTGTCAAAAACAAAAGGGGAATTTAAAAAGCCTAAAGGATGTCTGTTATGTTTTCATTGTTTTTATTTTAAACAAGTAACATAAACATATATATACATAGATACAAGTTCTCAATCAGGTGTTGACTTTCTGCTTGCGTCCGGAACACGGTTCATAAACACACAGTCTCTGTGTCCAGTCTCTCTGCGCATGCGCGCTGTTTCCTTGGCTGGCTATCGGTACCGGCCAGTCCGCTAGTCCACCATAACAATGTCCATAAAGAATATCGACAGAGACAGGGTAGGTTTTTGAAATGCGGACGGGGGTGGGGGTCGGGGTCTCGCAGACAGCCGCAAGCTAGATTTTTGTTATTACTATCGGCATCCTTCTGTCTCGTGAGACGATGGTGCATCACCGTTGGGTTGGGTTGCATTTTCTCGAGTGGCTGTGCAGTCCTATCTTTGAGTGACAGTCTTTACCACAGTTTTTACACACGAGTTCTGTGCTTCCCAATGTTTTGGCCTTTCTCCTAGCTCTTCTGTCTGCAGCCTCTTCCATTCTTCACTCCTCGGCTACCATGACGCCCTCTTTGACAACTGTGCGCCACGTAGATCGGTCTTTTGCCTTACACTCCCAGTCACTTGTATGTATTTTGGCTGCTTTCATGTCCCTTTGACAGACATCTTTAAATCGCAGACGTGGTCGACCTGTTTTCCTCTTTCCAGCAGCAAGTTCACCATATAGGAGGTCTTTCGGAATGCGGCCGGGACTCATTCTTTTAACATGACCTAGCCATCTCAGGCGTCTTTCACTAAGGATTGTGAACATGCTTTGGGTATTCGCACGCATTAGGAATTTAATACCAAGGATGCGACGCAGGCATCTCATATGGAAGCTATTAAGCTTGCGCTCTTGGGATGTATAGGTGGTCCATGTCTCGCTCCCGTATAGTAGTGTACTGATGACACAAGCTCGATAGACGCACAGTTTGGTTTTCTCCGTTAGCTTGGTGTTTTGCCAGACCCGTTAATTTAGTTTAGCCATTGTGGCAGCTGCCTTGCCGATTCTGCTGTTAATTTCTTCTTCAATGGACAGTGTATTGGAGACCTTGGACCCCAAGTAGGTGAAGCTGTCCACAACCTCCAAGTTTTCATTTTCGATTTTTATGTTAGGTGGAGGTCGAGTGTCTTGGGCCATGATGTTTGTCTTTTTCAAGCTGATTTGCAGACCAAATTCTTTGCAGGCATTGGAGAAGCTTGACACGAGTTGTTGCAACCCAATTTCTGTGTGTGCTGTTAGTGCCGCATCATCCGCAAATAGTAGCTCGCAAATTAAGACATCTGTCGTTTTGGTCTTTGCTCGGAGGCGGGCAGTGTTGAAAAGTCCTCCATCAGCTCTGGTGTGTAACCAGATTCCCTCACTTATATCCTTGAATGTGTATCGAAGTAGTACAGAGAAGAATATTGCGAGCAGTCCTATCACCTTTGTTTTTATATAGTGTCACTATATTTGCATCCTTTAGGTCTTGGGGGATGTAGCCCTGTTCCCAGCAGAAGGACAGAATCTCGTGCAATGGTTGGAGTAAAGCTATCTTACCACTCTTTAGAGCCTCTGGTGGTATTCCATCATCCCCAGGCGCTTTTCCACAAGCTAGACTATCAATAGCTTTGCTCAGCTCTTCCTGTGAGGGCACGACATCAAGTTCTTCCATGAGTGGCATATCTGGTATGTCATCTAGAGCGGTGCTGGAGACTGTGGTAACTGTTGAATACAATTCCAGATAATGCTCAACCCACCGTTTTAGCTGTGCTGCCCGGTCTTGGATAAACATGCAACCTGTCGGGTGTAGGCTTTTCCTTGTAAGCCGTAAGAGCTTTCCTTTTGGCTTCAGTGACAGGTTTCATCTCGTCCCAATGTTCATCAAACCAGTCCGTGTTTTTGTGAGATTTTTTGCCAAAGGCCTGTATTGCGGATGTATAGATTGTGTCTCTGAGATGCGTCCATTTCGAGTCAATGGTGACGCATGGGGACATCCTTGAGATACCTTCATTCACCTTGTCTGTGAACAGCTGCGTTAGCGCAGGGTCTTTCATGCAGAAGGTATTGATACGTGGGCATCCCTTTTTCTTGGAGTGGTACGAGTTTTTCCTCATTATTCGTACCTTGCTGGCGACAAGGGAGTGATCCGTGTCACAGTCGGCACTGTGATAGCTGCGAGTGAGTAGGATGCTAGCTAGTTGTGCACGCCTGGTGATGATGAGGTCCAGCTGGTGCCATTGGCGGGATCGAGGGTGTCTCCAAGATACTTGATGTATATCCTTGCACTTGAAGTAAGTGTTGGTCACACACAAGCCTCGTGAGCAGCACAATTCCAGAAGCCTCTGTCCATTTTCATTAATCTTTCCTCTTCCAAAGAGTCCAAGGCATGTGGGCCAGGCTTCGTGGTCACTCCCCACTCTAGCATTGAAATCTCCCAGGAGGTAGATTGCCTCGTCTTTGTGGATGCTGGCTATTGCATGGTCTAAAGCTCCATAGAACTGGTCCTTCTCTTCTGGAGTTGAACAGAGAGTTGGGGCATATACACTAAGAATGTTTGCTGGGCCCGCAGCTGTTCTGAGTCTTAGAGTGGCGATCCTCTCCGTGCCTGATGACGGGGGATCAATGAATGGTGTAAGAGTGTTCTTAACAGCGAAACCTACACCATGCTGTCTAGGTTCGTGTGTTGGTCTGCCTTGCCAGAAGAAAGTGTAATTTGCTTCTTTGAGTGTACCGTTGTCTGGGAGCCTGGTCTCCTGAAGGCAAGCGATGTCAATCTTTAGCCTTTTAAGTTCTCTATCGATTATTCCTGTCTTCCGTGTGTCGTTTATTGACTGCGGGTCATCAGTGATGCCGGGACACATAGTCCTCACGTTCCAGCTAGCGATTCGAAGAGCTGGGGTCTTCTTTTTCTTTTTTGTGTTTCTTGGTGCAGGGCTTAGTGAGTGGTACTCTCCACGCACCCAGTGGAGAAGGCAGGCCATGATGGGATAGCACCTATTTGACTGGCGGGCGGTAGCTGTCTGGTGAGACATTGGTAGTCTCTCCCACTGTCGGAAGCAGCCCCTGGCGCCTAGCTCTACGTCAATTGAGCTTTTGGCTTATAACCGATAACTGCTGCTTCCCGTGTTTTGTCGACACCTTGCGGCGACGCTGGAGTAACCCATAAGGTTATATTTTGACACCTCTGGGCGGGTATTATGGAGAATTAGCTGCTGCCCATACAGCATATCCACCCTCAACCAAGGGAACGACTTGCGTCGATGCGGCTTGGCTGCCGTTGGCGTCGCAGGAGCTGCCGGTATGTACATAAGGGTTTTATGTATAGACCGCCTGTAGGTGCTCCATTTCCTGATTTTCTGTCGGGGTTTACTCCCTTAGCCTTTCCCGAAGGGTATAGCCGCAAGGCAGCGGAGGATTTTTGAAGTCGGAGTTTCCTTCTCCTAGCCGTAGGGGTGCCAGCACCAGGATTCGAACCCGTGACTGATTGAAATTTATTTTTGAAGTCTTGGTACCGCAGCGCATCGCACTATCACTNCCTGAGGATGCCTGCAAGTCTGGGAGGGGGGAGGAATGGAGAGTAACCCATAAGGTTATATTTTGACACCCTTTTTTTTTTTTTTTTCTTTAAAAAAATCGGCCGACATTCTCGTTCTGTACTGTGGCGGCCGATAAAAAACACGGTTCGATAGCAACTTCCAATTCAATATTTAACTGGAATTATAGCCACTTCCTTTTATTAATAATTAAATCATCTTCCGGTTCAAGCTGTTTCCTGATAACTTGAAAATAAATACTTTTTAATCGGAGTTTTATATCGCTGTTTTTTTAAAAGCTAAAATGGTTGAAGCCATGGCTGGGGTCATTCAGTGCAAGAACTAATAGAGATAGGTTTGAAAGCTTTTTAGGAGAGGTTTTAAGTGATACTGATGATGATTTTAACATTCCCCATGACGAAATAAGTTGGAGATTATTTTTCTCTTGAATTTTATACTAGTCTTAGTGTTACTGAAGTAGGCCTACTGAGGCTATTTATTTATTTAAATAGGCATTTTTATATAGTGCTTACCTTAAAGCTCTAAGCGCTTTACAATTATTAAAAACATGTAAACTAAGTAAAATAAAAATAAATGGCTACTGTTAGACTGCGAGCCAGGCCCGGAGGTTGGGCAAGGACTAACTGAATTTTAGTCACAGAAGCTAAGATTATAGTTCAGAACTAATAAATTTATAATAGTTAAACAACCCATATCAGTTCCACAGTTCCTTTTTTAAATGTTTACTAGTCAATAATAACTATTTTGCCTGAGATTTTGTATTTTATACTTGGTTTTAGTAGTGGTCCCAGTTTCTTATATAAATGACCTAAAATTACTAAAATTGCTTTCAGAGGTTTAATTGTAATCAAAACCTCCTTAGCAAGCTATACATTTTCTGATAGATAAATGACTTGGCGACAACATTTAGATATGTGTTTTAAGTGTATCTATAAAAATTAATGATGTTATTAGCACTTGAAAGCAAGACATTTTGTCGATATTTTTTCCTTGAGAACTCCAAGGTCAAGGACACTGAGCAAAATTTTTTTTACGGGGTGGGCAATATGGCCAACTTTATCCCCATCCATTTACCTTTCTAAAAATATGTACTTATTGGGGTCTTGTATCAATATTTCTATGTCATTTAATGCAATTTCAAATGGCACTCAAAATGTTGTGAAAAACTCCACACCACAGAATGATGCATGCCACAGTTTGTGGGTTAAATACATGTGTAGTTTTGTGCATACTTCTTGTCATCAGTTAAAAATATGATAAAATAAGATCAAACAGACATGTCAATATATGCATTGTTGGTGGGATTCAAATTATTACAAAAACTAAATTAAGAAAAACACAACATAACAGCACTAGGCCTTTTCCAAATTAGTTATGATTCCAATGAGTTATACTTATACTGACAAATAAGGCTTTCTAAACCATTGTCAGTGATTGTCATTTATGATATATCAACTACAGGCACAGATGCATAAACAGAAGGCAAAATTCTATGCCCAAAAGCTGCTCAATATTAAGAAATATAATGAAATAGTCAACTTATTACCCGACAACTGGTATAAAATGGATCCAGTGAGATGGACGCTCTTGTTGACACTGTGTTGTCCCACATTATCAAGGCATCTGAGTCCCAGTTTACTTTATTGGCATAAAAGTTGAAGAAACCTTTCAGGAGATCCACTGAAAAGAATACATATCAAGGAATAGACCATTAGTTTGTTTTAACCCTTTTGAGACAGAGCTTTTTTGGAGTGTCTGTGCAAGGTCTGCACTCATATTGCAAAATAAATTTTAATATAAAACCTAATTACTTATCTAATATAAAAGTATTTATATTCTTGTAGGGAATTGAATGAACTAATACAATCTTTATGAATCTAGTTGAAATCTCAACACTTATGCAAATGAGGTACACTTATAATAAACATGTCTTATTTGAAGAATATTGTTAAACTTTATAATTCTTGAAGCCTAAATAAGTCATAACTCTTATTTGAATGAGATGCAGTGTGAAAAACTACATAAAATAATCCCCTGGGGACACTTACACCTTTTGGCATGTTTCAAGCTAACATATTTTAAAGCATTTGTAGAGGTCATTAGGTTAGAACATCGTAAAATATCAATGGAAGCCACCATTAAAATGGCGAGATGAGCTAAAAATGCAAGAAGCAATCTGATTAGCTGGTACAAAGACTAGCAAGCCAATGTCCTTGCTTGAATTATTGGGCTGGTGGATCAGGCTTTTCGTCTTTGTCACCATTTGACCCTGGGTTGATAGTTCAGCCGAGCCATCCCAAGAGGGATAAAGACCAAATCAGAAACTTCATAGAAATCGGATTGTTAAAATAATGAAAATGGTTTCCTGGATCTTCCAGATAGATAGAAGTGTTAAATAAAATATAAGTAGCTAAATGCCTTCCAGTCCAGGCTCTGTAAACTCACCTACATTTTCTGTGTTGTCTGATTGTGGTAAGACAGCATTGAGGGGAAGGGATATACATTCCCATTCATCCACAAGCTCCTTGTAAGCACCTGATCAAAAGAGCATTGGGTAAAAGGTAAACTAAATAATACTTTAAAAAAATATGATAATTGAAATCCAGATACGATGTAAATTTGTAATCTGGAACATTTATTTGCCTCTGCACTCAGTTCTGTTTAGCATAAATTTTCAAATGACATCTTTTTCTTCCACAAAAGGCCTGGGTAAAAAGGATAAAAAATATATTGCACTACGTAGAAAATAAAATAGTTTTAAGTGCATTTCAATAGAGGTGAAGTAACAAATAGAAGCATTATCAAGTAAATATTTCTACGTAAAACTTACCTGAGACAGACTTCTCAACATCGCAAACTTTTGGTACAATTTGTGGCTGTCTTGTCATCACATAGAAGAGCACTAGCAGTGTCAAGGCATAACTGGTCAGTATATGACCCTTACCAACTTCTCCTGCCAACTCATGGAACTTGGCCCATAGTCGCACTGTACTGACCAAAGTATGGACACGAGGTTCTGAACCATACAGTCGCAGAAGTAGACTGTTATATAAAGCTTTCCTGGCGAGAAAATAAATCCATTTAAAGAACAACATTTCACCTATCATGATTTCTTTGTAGAACATACATTTAAGTGCATGAGACCTTCAGTTGACTGGTACTCTACATTTTATTGCCATAATCAAAATAATAACTATTTTTTAATGGGGAAAATGTACGAATTTTCATTATGTATCCATGGGTGCCACTCACTGAAAGCTGTGAAATCCCTACCTAAAAATTTCTTGAAACCTGAAACTTCAATAACTTCAATAATTTTTCAAACCATTAAACTTGACGAAACTCATAAAATTCATACATTGTAGAAATAATTTCTTGTACAATGATTATATTATATATACACATATTTATCCACACAAAAGCAAGAGGTTGCAGTACCTGATCTATTTATAGCGAATCAGCTTCTCACTGAATAGGCTTTCGCACGTTCTTACTCATTGTTTTTTTTTAAAAACCCAGAATTCGTATTTGAATAAACTGAACTAGCGAATCTGGAGCAAGAGAAATAAAAACTCGCGATTCAGCAGCTGAAAAATATTCAGCCTAACGAATCCAGAAAAGTGGCATCCTTGTATGTATCCTTTCATTTGCTATAATATTAGAGTTTTTGGTAATGGCACTTAAGAATTTTAAACTCTCATTGCATGACCTGTGATTTGATGGATCCACTGACATTAATTATGTATGGTACTTGCAACACAGTACTTATCTCAGTGAACTGAATAACCGCTACCTAAGGATAAATAAACGATTTAAAGGAAACTGTGACTGTGAGCTAGAGGAATTCCATGAAATCCCTATGTCAAAAACTTAAGGTACATATCTTTAACTGGCTACCCATATCAAATCCTGTCATAGATTTCACCTTATAAATTTGATCTGTCTGACCTGTTATTCAAGGATAGATCACATTTGATTCCTGTTGGTCTGTGCAGAAACTTGACAATGGGACATCTGTGACTGGGAATGATGAGAGTCTCACCATAGATGTGGCTCCTGCTGTTTAGAATCTTCATAACCTGCTTTATCTAACAGGATAGGAGATCATTAGCCTTAAGTGTCTTCTGATAAATATAGTTAATTAATTTACTATGTAATTATTAGGGCGTGCCCAATTTTTCTCTTTATTTTTTCTTCAGTGTAGTGAAAAGTCACAAAAATTTACCTTTCAAAAAATGTATGCCGACATAAATCAATATTTTTACTACGGCCTTAACATTTGCAAACTAAATTAGTTGCCATTAAAATTTATAATACTGACAGTTAATTTATAAAAACTTGATTTAATTGTGAACAGGTTATTGTATGTTTCATTCTCTGACTAAGAAGATTCACTTAAGTAGGACAGGATATTGGTATAAAGTGGAAAGAAATTCTCACCAGGTCATCTATAGCAATGTCTCTCTGCTGATCCTGGGTGAGTGGTGGAGAGCCAACCTTTATCGCCTTGTGGTCTTCATGGAAAGGCAGTGGCAACTTGAGCAGTGTAAGTACAATATAGAAAATGTATCAATGAGTCTGTGTGTGACCAACAATATTAACAGTAACCAAACACCAACACTTTAGTTGGCCCAACATAAATTCATATAAACTTGTCAACAATTTTGCTAAGTTTTCTAAAATTTTGTATCTGTGTCAAATTTATCAAGAATTCTTTTAAATTTTCATGCATCTAGTTAAACCTCAATAATAATAAAATCTAAACATTAATTCAATCTTAATAATAATAAAATCTTAAGTTTTTCGCTGACCAAAAGGAGCACATTTGATATTTTAAAAAAGTTTTTAAAGCTCTGTCCTTTTACATTTATTTTGCCATTAAAAAAAAGAACATGGCATAAATCTTTCACCAAAGTTTGTTTACACTGCCAGGGACTTAAATACCATCTTCCATCTGCACAAGCCATTTACATTATAGCATATCTTCCATATCAATCATTAGGTTTCACAATAAAAAAATATTTGGAATTCAATTTTCTAAAACTGTGAATTTTTTTATTTGACACTGTTGAATATTTCCTCTCCTATTTTACACCAGCCTGATTATGCTAAAATTTCGATCACTTCTCAAGTGTGTATGGTTACTTGAGAATTAATAATTGCACATTGTATTTTGTGAAGAAATGAATGGGCCCCTACACTTGGCAATAATAAATATGCATTATATTCAGTGCAATCATTAATATTCAGTTTGCACTCACTTGAAAAACATAAATTTGTATCATTCTTTGTGGAATCATAACTGTTTGTTGGTTTAGAGGTAAGATGTTGGTGGGGGGTGGGTGCAGTCATGCAGTTTATATTTTACATTAGAAAATCAATGCTGCTTGTACATACATGCAATACTTTGTTCATTAACAGCATCCTTTCAGCAATAAACACATTTTAAGTCAACGTTTTCAAACTTCATGTCAACAGGGAGAGTAAAAACATTCCTACTGGATACTTTGAGTGTGAAGGTAGTGTCTGGTTGTAGAACATACATTTTTGATATTTGAGTGTGAAGGTAGTGTCTGGTTGTAGAACATACATTTTTGATATTTGAGTGTGAATGTAGTGTCTGGTTGTAGAACATACATTTTTGATATTTGAGTGTGAATGTAGTGTCTGGTTGTAGAACATACCTTTTTGATATTTGAGTGTGAAGTTATTGCCTGGTTGTGGATATTTAAATATAGATCAAGGTCACAACCTGCTGTCCCAAAACTGTTGATAGATGATCCGAACTGATGAACACTGCAATCTGTTAATCATTGATAGAAAATAGAGAAAAAGCACATGATGATGGAAAATAGACAAAATATCACATGATGATAGAAAATAGAGAAATATCACAGCTGGGACAGAAATTGAAATGGTGTACATTTTAAATAAGACAGATAAAACTGTTAAGAGAAATAGTTTTATTTGATTTCAAGCCACAAGAAATAAGATTGTTTTTGTTCCTGAAGGCCTGGGAAACCCTGGATTATTTTACAACATAAGTAAAGGGATATCATTTTGTTACAGTACAAGCATTTGAACAAAAAATTATTTTGGAAACAATAACATTATACAAACTTTCAAAATAAGGAGCAAACAGTTTGCTAAGGTCTGTACAAATTTGAGCACGGGATAACAGATCTCCTGGAGGCAGTTTGAGACTCTCTGACAGCTTAATCATCTGGTCAAGTAGCTGTAAAAAAATAAAGCGATTTCTAATGATTTTCTTTCTTTCATTTGTTTAATTGTCAATCAGGCATCTAAGTGCATTTTTTGTAGATGTTATGTGCTCATTATTAACTATAGACAATGTGATAGCAAAACCGGTGGTCATATTTTTTTGGGTGATAATTTGATGTGCAACACCAGTGGTACTCTTTGATTTGGATGATGTGATGTCTAAAACCAGAGATCCACTATCTTTTGGATAATCTGATGTCTAAAACCAGAGATCCACTATCTTTTGGATAACCTGATGTGTAACATTAATGTGTCAACTTTATGGATTCTATGTGTAGCACCAGTGTGTCAACTTTATATGGATTCTATTTGTAGCCCCAGTGTGTCAACTTTATATGGATTCTATTTGTAGCACCAGTGTGTCAACTTTATATGGATTCTATTAGTAGCACCAGAGACACACTGGCAATAAATATGAAAGGCTCTTTTGGGGAAGTGTGGTATGTAACACAAATAATACTCAAAAACATAACGCAAATAACTTTAATTGTTAGAATATTGTGAGCCTCTTCTGGGTATGATTAGCCTTTACTTGTGTTCAATAATCTTTATATTTATTTTCCAAAGACTGAGATCAAGTTTACCAGCTGTGAGAAAATCTAAACAAATTTGAGCTATAAATACAAGACTTCATCAGTACACAGCACAACCTACGTTGTCAGAAGAGATTATCAAAGACATTATGAAACGAAATGTCTCATCTTTTTTCTCCTTTTCCTCCTGCTCATTTTGCTGATGGATCAAGCGCATTTGTTCGGATCTGGGTGGATGGTAGACAGATTGCCTGACTGCCAAAGTTGTTGAGTCAGACCTGTGCTGCCTCACATTCAGACATTTTGCAACAGATGAAAATTCCTCAAACTCAACTATTGCAAATTGGCTGCCCTTTGAAAAAAATTATGTATTTTAATTTATAGATGTCATCCCAAGGCAAAACATAATACAATTGAAAGTTACAAGAAAATGTGTACAAATTTAATTAAGAGTAGGATAAAAGGTTACTCAACAAAAGCTTGGCTATTTCATAGAATTTTTGTATATAATTTTGTTTTATAAACAGGAGAGACCGTGATATAAAAACATTGTACAATCAAAATCAAGATGTACTCATCTCACTTCTGTCAGCATCTAACATCCTACCGAGTTCTTCCAAGCTTGTATTGCAACACATTTTTAAAAAAAACCCTAGCTTTTTCACATAATGAACATATTTAACGACAATTTTGAAATCATATTTTTAAATGTCAAGTAGTATGTCTTTAAATCACACAAAACATATTACTGTAAGAATAAACAAAATAGCCTGTGTATCTATGAACTGTGGCATAGACACAACAGCAGCTTCTTTGACATGGCCATACAAAACAATAAAAAGGTGAAACACTTGAATAAGGAGAACTTCTGAAGCAGAGCAATATACATGAATATTTTGTCAAGAGGGAAAGATAAATAATTTAGGCAGTCCTCAATGATTAAGTCATAATTAACTTTATTCATTCTGGATGTAACCATACATCTGGACAGTCCACTCAAATGAAGAGAGGCATGTTACCTGATTTCAATCATTTTTTTGTAAAACAATCCCACAAAGGCATAGATCAGCTTGACATCCCAAATATTGCAGCTAGAGAGAAATTCTCAAAGAATATACTGTAATATGGTTAATATAATAAAGAAAGCACACAAAGCTATTACTTACAGTTTTTCCTCGAAGTTTAGCCTTCTTCACTTTACCAAACCGAGAAAAGTAGGATTCCAGTAATTTCTGGCATTTATTAACTGTTGAAAGTAAGTGACAAACCTCTAAGCTTAAGAATATCAAAAACATATACTGATTTCAAAAATACATCTTCTGCACAATATAGTTTCTTTTAAAAAAAATTGCATTAGAAAACTTAGCTTTATTTTATACCAATGATGTCAATCAAAATTTCTTTTGTTTTATTTTTAAACAAATAACATAGGTAATTTTTCATACAATAAATGAATTTTAATTCTTTTATAGATTAAAATTAAATTTATTACGCTCTTTGGGTTTAAAATCAGTACCTGGGCACTTCTGAAAACCACGAACATAAACTGAACGACTTGAAGCCTCTTTCTCTGCTGCAACTTTAGCACTTGCTATGTGCTTTTTACTTTTGCAATGTGTTTGAAAATCATGCTCTGAAAAGTATTTGTTTAACATATTGATAAATATTTACCCTAATGTTAAATTAATCTAAATAGTAGAGCATGGTGCTCCTATCACTTTCATGCATCATCATTGTTTCAATGTAACATGATATTTTTTAAATGAAGATCTTTACCCACAAAAATATATCAAGTTTAATTTAAATGAGCAAAAATGTGTTTTTTAACAATGATTTTTTCCCAATGTTGTAACTTTATTTTATAATTTGTATAAATGTTAAAAATTAGAAACGGTAATAAGTTGTACAAAAATATTAATGTTTAAGTTTGCACAAACAACTTCCTGAATAGCAGACTTAAAATTACCTGCTTGAAAGGTCTGATCACAGGGCTCACAATAGAACTTTCTTTTAGACATTGTTTTGATTGATTTCTAGAAATGATAATAAATATGTGTACAAAATATTAAAGCAATAATTTGTAAAACTAGAAAAATAGGAAAACTGCTGTACTCATAGCAATAGTTCACTAAAGTCAAGCATCAGTTCTGTCACAGCAATTTTACACTGTTGCAAGATGACAGAGAGTTTTTCCTAATAAAGTTTATAAATATATATATAGTATAAATGTGCTCTCAGAACCATGTACCCAATATCATTATTATTAGTATTATTAGGTGGTTTTATATAGTGCAGTACCCCAGCCTAGGGCTAGGCTCACTGCGCTTCACATAAAAATTAGGAATTACAGAAAAATTATACATTTAAAAACAATTCGTGAAAAGCTTGACCTCACCCACCCAAGTACTATCTTCCCCTGTATAGCCATTGACAGCACCCAAAAGAATCTAGCATTGTTTATCAGTTAGAGGGGGGCGAGAATGAGTCGGTATAGTACAGTTTGAAGAGATGGGTCTTGAGGGCAGTTTTGAAGGCTATGATGGTTGTTCTATTGTGGATGTGTAATGGGAGAAAATTCCATTGTTTTGGGGCACAGAATGAGAAGGATCACTCACCATATGTCTTAGTGTGTGTTCTGGGAACAGAAAGAATATGTGTGTCTGCGGAGGAACAAAGCTTTCGAAGGGGTGAATAGATAGTAAGAAGTTCAGTAAGATAGGAAGGGCAGGAACCAGAGAAAAAGTTGTGAGAGAGAACAGACAGCTTGTAATCAATGCGTGCCTGTATAGCAGGGGTCGAGAACCATTTTGTCTGAGGAGCCATGGACACCACATATTTTGAAAAGTAATTCTGTGAGAGCCATGCATTATGTTTAAAACTAAAATTCAAGTAAATGTGTGCATTTTGTGTAATTTCAACACTAAAAATGCAATAATTGTGTCTCTTAATTCTTTTTAATAACATTGTTATGCTGTTGCTAATCAATAATGAGTATTTCTTACCATTAATGTGACTTTTTTTTATAATCGAACATTTGTCTGCGAGCCAGATGCAGCCATCAATAGAGCCACATCTGGCTCGCGAGCCATAGGTTCCCGACCCTGCTGTATAGGGACCCAATGAAGTGAGTGAAATAGTGGAGTAATTTGATCACGTTTCTTTGCCTTTAGAACTAACCTAACAGCTGAGTTTTGAACTTTCTGCAGTTTTTCTATGAAATGTTTTGGTGAACCTGACAGAAGAGAGTTACAATAGTCAAGAAGAGAGAGAAAAAGAGCACAGACGAGTGGTTTTGTTGCGCCGTGAGGTAGTGGTGATTTTGTCTCTTAGACACAGTTGAGGGCTGGACTATATATTGAAAATAATATGAATAAATTCCTATGCAAATCACACATACCTTAAGTGTAGTGCAAAAACAAAAAGTCAACTTTTTAAAATATATTAAATGATTAACAATTTTAAACAACGTAATGATAAAGCTATTAGTATTTCAATGCAAATGAAAGTATGGGCCTGCTTTTCTGTAAGTAGAATGGTCAATACAATGTCTGGTTCTATAATAATTGTCATTGCCATCAGTGTAACTGAACAAGGACTATGTGAGCCCAGAGATACCCCTTGGGGACCAGATATGGCTTGTGGGCAATAGTTTGAGGTCCCTGCTATAGACTATAGGCCTATGTCTATACTATTAAAGTATAAGTACAGTGTATTAATAAGTTAAGTATATAACTTAAAGTTTAGAAAAAGATTAAGTGTAGTAAAGTTTGCTAAAAGTAGTAGTAAGTGTAAGGCAAGGACAAATAAGTATAAGTTAAATAAGTAAGGCAGGGATAAAGTGAAACTGAAAGTGGTTGAGACCGTTTTAAAAATTTTTAACTTTATTTATTTACGTCAAGTTTAAGTAAAGTCTTAAATCTTAAGTTAGACTAGGCTAGGCCTAGATTACTAAGTCACAGACTAAACTAAGTGTAGTAAAGTTTGCTAAAAGTAGTAGTAGTAAGTGTAAGGACAAAAAATAAGTAGGCTATAAGTTAAATATAAATAAGTAAGGCAGGGATAAAGTGAAACTGAAAGTAGTCGTTTTTTAAATTGTTAACTTTATTTATTTACGTCACGAACCTACCGAACATTCATGCAATTTTAATGAACAAACAGTAGGTCAGTAGACTATCAGATCAGTAGGTCTGAGTAGGCCTATGTTATGCCTATACTAATACTAATACTACACTTTATACTATTGACTATACTAATATACTATACTTATACTTCATTAAATTTAAATACTGTATTCAATTTCCTGCGGTACCCTTTTTTAAGTCTAACAAAATTTACATAATATACATATTAAGTATTAATTCTTAACACAACATTGAAACGTTTAAAAGCTTTGAGTTATTTCTACGTTGTTGTACAAAATAATATCCTCCAAATAAAAGAAAACTCTTTTTCTACAATTCACCTTGTTCTTTATTTTTTAGGCTCTCTGCGGAAATTGGTTACAGTTGCTAGGTAATCCTAAATATCGAGAATTTAAGTATAGATATTGATTTATTTGGGTAAATTTGCAGTTATAACTGATCAATTTAGATCTAGTGCTTAAAAAATAAATCAATAAATATATTTTCAATATTTTAAAAACTAAATTAATTAGAATCCTAGCAAAAATTTGTTTGATTCTTAAAATGTTTCAAATGCATGTAGGCCTACGAAAGTGTAGCCCATACCAACAATGCCAACATGGGCGACCGCATCTACGGGAATTTACGTAGTGCATGGTTGGGGGGGGGGGCCGGGGGAACAACAAACTTTGGACTCCCCTTCACTCCCTGTCATGAAGTGTCACAAATTCTTTACCCCCCCCCCCCCCACCTAGTGTCACGTCACACCAAAAAAAATAAAAAAATAGAAAATCAAAACATGCATAAAATTTTAATAACTAAACTAAGATTTTATTTTATTCTTTAACATTTTCCCATAATGGATTAAGATGTAGGGTTATTAGAAAACTGTGACGCGAAACAACGCAGTCATCCACAAGCCGCATATAAAATGGCCACAACAGTCTTAGCGTCATTTTTCGATATCCGCAAAAGGTGTGATCGACTGAGTTTCATAGTACCTATAATTTATAATATCTGAGGAAATTTTGACATAGAATTAATGTTTTTAAAATTAATTAAATGAAGAATTTTCAAAATTATAAAATTGTATATTAACTCTCTGCAGTCTGACTTTTTTTCACATTTCTTAAAAATCTTAAGGTTATTTAAAAAAAATAATTAATTAACTTATCTGAAATAGCTCTGATCTGATCGGGCATTAAATTAACTTGTTCATCTTTGACTCAGTTATCATTATATATTTTTTATATATTTTATTTTCTAAGTTATACAAATAATTAAAATATAATTGGAGAATTATTATTTTTCATTTTACGCAAAATTTTGACACATTTTCACACAGTATGAAGAAAAAAAAACCCTCCTTGTTATAAAAGATTTAAAATGTATTTAAATGAAATACTTCATCATCTAATACAACTCATAGTCAAACATGACAAACATTCTATGAAAAATAAAATAGTTATCAATATTTTAGCAAAACCTACATTTTGTCTTTTTTTTCTAAAAAAAAATAACTAGAAATTATCTTTTAATTAAAATTATGTTTTTTACGTAATATATTTAAAAAAATGGGCCTCATAACTTATATATTTGAATATTAAATACATTTCTTGAGTAAAAGATAACTATATACATACATATCTATCTCTCTCCCTCTCTCTCTGTATATATAGCCTTTATATATATATATATATATATATATATATATATATATATATATATATATATATATATATATTTAAAAATTCTTTCTATACAAAATATATATATTTTTCACATATTCACTGTGTCTAATATATATATATATATCTCTCTCTCTCTCTCTCTCTATATATATAGTCTTTATATATATATATATATATATATATATATATATATATATATATATATATATATATACATATTTTGATGAACTTGCTCTACACAAGATATTTAAAATTTTCACCAATCCTCAGTGTCGTTGCCATAGCAAATCTACTTTGAACACGACACGCTGTTTCATGATTTTTAGAATTTTTTTTTAATGCTATAGTGCAGTAGCAGGCTGATTAGCGAAGCAAAAGGTCTGCACCACACCGTGATCTTCACGATACTTTAGCCACATCCTTCACGCGGCCAGGTAAATAATTCATTATAAAAAAATTAATCGAGCAACAGTGCATGATAATTTACTTACACAGTGCATGAAATAATAATAGGCCTTATTTGTACCGTGAGAAAATATTACAGTTCAAACACTTTGTTATCGGTAAATGTAAGTTAAAATGCTACAATTAAAATTTTGTGCAGAAAATATGGAGTTTTTATTTAACAAACCCAGTAGCCACGAGCCTAACAGAGGACGATAATTACGGATATAAAAATAACTGTAACTCATCGATGTAGTCATGTAAATCTAGATGATTAATGAGTGTAAATCTAGATGATTAATGAGTGTAAATCTAGATGATTAATGAGCAAATTGTTGCACAACCAACGGATTCTCCAACAAAAAACGCGTGCCAAATAACTGAACTCTTCTTGCCTCGTGTCAAGTTCAAGGCCGTACAGAGGCCGATACAAGCACGTAAATCGTCCGAGGCCATGCCCTCATTAGAAGCCCCCAGGTGCCGATTGTTTTCTTGTGCAATGATAAGCAAATGCGTACAAGACCTTTTTTTTAATTTTATTTTGCTTCGTTCATTTCTCACAATCCATCTGCCGAGGCGACCTGTAGAATGTAGGTACAATGTTGAGAGCGACACCTATAAGCAAGAGTGAATGTGTATGGAGTCTAAGCAATTTTTCTCAAGCGAATCCCACTGTCCATCTGCTCACCATTTTGATGTCATTCATTGAATTTGTGTGGATTGAATACAGCTTCAAGCTGCAAGGATGATGATTTTTTTCCCCCATCTGAATCTGAGCCCAAACACACGTACACGTGTAAGTGAGCCATTGAATACACGAAGTCCTTAATGTGTGTCAGCATGGCAAGAGTTTGGATGAAAGAACTAAACCCGATTGACAGCTGCAACCAGATTCTTCAAGCGCAAGCAGCTAGTATTTACATTGAAGTGACCACTGGGAAGTCATTGTCATGTCGAGGGCAATTCATGGTTTCCAATACGTCCTCTGAACCAGATGAAATCAATTTTTAATTTTTTTTAAAACAGGCCCCCCCCCCCCTCCTTTTTTTCCCCCCCTCCCTAACAGCTCGCATCACAGCAGTTTATGAGATTGCATCTTCGTTCAGCTTCTTGTGGAACTACTCTATCATGCCTGAAGCAGAAATAAGTCGTTTTTGCACTGTCTTCCAAAAAATATTTTTCTGATGTATCTGAAAATGATCCCGTGGAAGATATCTTGCAGTTGAAACAAATTCTGTGAATTCGCTGAACAGAATTTATAAGCTGTGTGAAATTTTTTGAAAATTGACCATTGCATTGTGTAATTTTTGTTCAAATCCAGTAACTGTTGCAACAGTGGAGCGGTCATTTAGCAAGCTCAGAGTGATCACGAAATCTACGAGGTCAACTGAGGTTCAAGAAAGAACGAGTAATCTGGGCTTATTAAGTGTTGAATCTCTTTTGGAACGTAGGCTTGATTTATAGCTTGATTTATAAAAAAAAAAACAAAAAAAAAACAAAAACAAACTACCATCGACAAATTATAGTGACGGGGGACAGAAAGAGAGAAAGAGAAAAAGAGAGAAAGACAGAAAGACAGAAAAAGAGAAAGAGAGTACTTTTGTAGCGTTTTATTAAAGTATATTTTTTTCTCAAGCTCACACAAAATGTTCAATGTTAAAATTTAAAAAAAAAAAAAGAAATAGAGGAGGACAATGAGAAATTACCCTTGCAGTGTTTCGATAATAAAGTATTTTAAATGTCTAGTCACACAAGCTTTTCTTCAACTTTTTTGAAACTTGAGGGGGATTTGGATTTTATCGGGACACATAAATCCTTGGTCAAGTGTAACCTGTCTGGTCAAGTGTAACCTGTCTGGTCAAGTGTAACCAGTGTGGTCAAGTATAACCTGCGTGGTCAAGTGTAACCTGTGTGGTCAAGTGTAACCTGTCTGGTCAAGTGTAACCTGTCTGGTCAAGTATAACCTGTGTGGTCTAGTGTAAAATGTGTGGTCAAGTGTAACCTGTGTGGTCAAGTGTAACCTGTGTGGTCAAGTGTAAAATGTGTGGTCAAGTGTAACCCGTGTGGTCAATTTTAAACTGTCTGGTCAAGTGTAACTTGTGTAGTCAAGTGTAACTTGTGTGGTCAAGTGTAACCTGTGTGGTCAAGTGTAACCTGTGTGGTCAAGTGTAAAATGTGTGGTCAAGTGTAACCTGTGTGGTCAATTCTAAACTGTGTAGTCAATTTTAACAGGTGTGTTCAATTTTAACCTGCGTGGTCAAGTTTGACCCGGTACGTCGATGAGGCAGAGTTTGAATGTGACATGGCGACGATTGGATTAACGCAGGCCTGCACAACCCAGAGTGTTAGGCGGGCCGTAATACTTGATGAAAAACTTGTGCGGACCGAAAGAACATATGACAGGGATGAAAGCTATTAAGAAAATAATACTAATAAAGAATATTTCGTTCCTTCGCGGGCCGCAAAGTGGATGCTGGCGGGTCGTATGTTGTGCGGGCCTGTATTACTGAATTAACTTCCTGTGGCAAAACACAAGAAAAAGTGAAAGGCATTGTTCTTGAAGAAACGTCAACTGAGGAAAACAATTGAAAAAGATTATGAAACAAGATAATGGCACACCTTTCTTTACAAGTTTTATTTGTCAACATAGCAGAAATGTCTACCGGACTGTCAATCCCACGACACTGAGCACTGACTTCACCACTGACATTCCCATAAACAATTAATTGCAACCGAAACAATAGCAAATGCTTCAAAATGCCTCAGTGCAAAACAGTGCAGTATCAACAATCTTTCTTTCCCACGCACAATAATAGCATGGAACCACCTGAACGATGCCACCGTGAACTCGACATCGGTCGAAAGCTTCAAGGCTGCCCTGGCATCAGCTAGGAGCTGTTAGAATAGCAACATCATATACCCAACCGTTGCAAAGATGCCAGTTCATGGATGCAGCAACGAAACATTACCAGAACCCGAACCAGAACACTGTTGTTGAATCAAAGTCTGAGCAGACAACCAATAGTGATCTCTTGTAATCTTCACAGCTTATTTTAAGGACAGTTGAAGTAGTACTAACATGAATCAAATCATGGGGATTATCTGGTCTTAAAGGAGTTTTTGGGAGACTTTAAGTTATCAACTTTGTTATCTGTGAGGATTTTAACTCTACAACCCTACAACTAATTTATTTAAGTCTTTAGTCGTTTGTACTCTTAATAAAAACTATACCTAAAAATATGGTCAT